TTCTTAGCTCATACTACAATTCAAATACTTTCTAATATCACAGTAAGTCACAATGTTGGCTAATTGTGGAGAGACTAAGAGAAAAACATAAACTAATAAAATTTAGAATGCCAAATGTCAAACTTATTCATCCATGAAAATAAGTAACACATTTTTTGTACTAATTGACATTATTTCGTGATGAAAACTTGTACTTGAACTCCTCTTTTTAAATTCTAACTCGGAATCTTAATCTTAGTTACTCGCAAAAATTTGATTCGTTACAAAATGATTACTGATAAAAAAACAATGCGATTATGCCATTACACTCTACCGATGGCATTCAGACAAGTGGTATTGACGGATCAAAATAAAGATAAAGGCTAACTGATTCATGAATGATCCTATTCATGAAATTGTTGGAAGCTTGTTACAAAATAATATGGTAACTAGAACTGTTCTCAAAATCTATAGACCCAGGTTAGATTAAATACAGCCTGTGATTAGGAATTCACAAATTGTAATTGAAGATTTATTGTCTGCAATTAACAAATTACATCACTAGAGAACATACACTCATTTTTACATTGATTGTACGCCTGTTTTGATACACAAGGTTATACCAAATCACATGCTAAGTGTCATGCTGGACATAGTCCATGCAAATTTAATGCAAGAATATCGTATCTCGAACGAACATCACACTCAAACAAACTAATGCTAAACCGAATAAAATATCACATTTGAAAACAGGACCAGTACTACATTGGGTACACATCAAATTGAGTAAAAAATCAGAACGAGTAAAAGAATGTCGCTTTGAGTTTTAATGCCCTCATATTATCAACAAACGAGAATTCATTTTCAATCTGTTACCAACAAATAATTGTGATAATAACGCATTTCTGTCAGAACAGGCACACACCATTTTTACAGGCATGATCTACAACTCACAACATAAGTTTTTCACAGTATGCTCCCCAAGAAGGTTTGTTAAACAGATGAAATCAATGAAATAAATAACAGTACATTCGTGCCGATGTCTCGGAGTGTTATTGATTAGGTTTATGCTTTAGTATTATACTGAGTACACTCTTTAAAATATTTCCCGAAGTGGCATCGCGTTCACGTTCAACACCAGATCCAATCACGGCATAATTGGATTAGAATTCTGGTCGTGCTAAGTATTTATGCAATACAACTTTTCAAGCTTATAGTTGTTACAAAGTAGATTCGTGCAGCGCTTGGTATGAACTATGGTCCTGAAAAAACGCGTACGCCAAATTTGTTCCAGACGTCAGAAGTTCCATATTTGTGCCTCAGAGCAAGATTTGGGGAGAGGAGAAACAAAGGAGCAGCAAGGCACTTGGATATCAACGCTAAACAATTCTCGACATTTTTTAATGGAGCAGAGAGGGTTATAATAAATTAGTAGATAAAACATATACTACGTCTTGTTGCTGGTGTCAAGTGTGATTAGAGCCTCCAAATGAGAGAACACAATCATAAAGAATAATGAGTTATGATATTTAAGAAGGTAGAGTATGTTCAAATGATGGAAAGGAAGTCTAAGTCAAAATAAGTAAGGCTGTTATCAACACACTTTAGAAGCATTACAATAGGAATGCTTTACACTGAAGGCTGAATTAGTCCAATTATTTTTTGCGCAGAAATTGTTCAATATCTTATTAACTACTTTTTTGGGGGCTATAAACAGTTGTTCATAGTTCCCCAAGCTTTCCTGATAACAGAGATCACCAATTAAACGCCTACCCGTACGACCCCGAATACAAGTTGGATTTGACGTATAAATAATTTAGTAGAACATCTGATATTCCTGAAGTCAGGTTCATGTATTAACTCATAATTGATACATGTTGTTCTACAATCTTGAAAGGAACACTTCGAAATTTGTATAAGCTCTCTTATCATATTTGATGTGTTTATTTTCGCAATTAATCGATCACACATTCATAATTCCACACATAATGTTCATCTTCCAAATTACATTTGTCAGCTTGTTTCTGCAATTCGATGATAAAATCTTTAGTATTCTGGTTATTCTCACGAATCGCTCAATCGAATTTCCTTTTTTCACGAAATTCGAAGCTTGTTCACTTCACTTGACTCAGTATCACGTCTTTGAAAGTTCCACAGAGAAGTGAACTAAACTTATCTAGAAGCATCAGATATCTTAGTGAGCTGTTTGTATCGTCCCTGATGAATGTAAGAAAATGATCTGCAATTTTATTATCCTTGCATCGCCCCAGGTCATACTCTAGATTTCGAACCTTTCTTCAAAAGCTTCGAAATTTGAATGTGTATCTAATTGTCCAATCATAGGCTCTGATGCGACGCCACTATGTTAATTAGCGGTATTTCACTTGATATGTTAATTATGAATTACCAGTATATTCTAGCGTAACACAAGTGGAAATAAATGAGCACACCAGAACTTACTATATCTGTAATTCTGCAAGAACTCAATAAAGTACAAAACAACCATCATTCAGTACCAATACCACGGATATTTAGACAATAGTGTTAAAAGTAAACCGTAGTAGCGCGAATGAACTCCACTGATATTTAATACACACATGCTGAATGAACACAACTGTGTACTTCTTTCTGAACACTATACATAACTGAGCATATGACTGTTAAGTGCATTCTTTCAATCCTGCTGATTAACTTTTTAGTTTTGTGGTTATTCTTAATGCCTTATATTTGAATTCTCTCAATATTCATTGTTTGGTTTCTTGTCTGACAATATATCTGCTTTTCAAGTTTCATCGCTATTTTGATCAATAAAGACTCGAGTCATGCTGGGTAATCGGAACTCTGGGTAGTTTGTATTCATTTCAATACAATGCAGGTTAGACGGTCCTGATGCAGTTCTGGATTTGTTCACTAAAAACATCTTCCAGTGTTATTTATAATCTGATACAACTGCTGGTGTTTCTAAGTTCTAATGTCAAGATAAATCCAATTCAAATACAAATAGGTCAAAATCTGTTGTCAATTTAGTACGTTTATTATTTCCGTCCAGTTGTGCTCACCAAACCCGGCTATATTTGCTTGTCACTACTATATATGCTAGTGAATTCAATAACTGAGATATATATTTAAGAACATTCGTATTCCAATTCTTATCCAGCTGATTTGTCCTTGGTCACTACGTTTGAATATAAGAAATATAAAAACGTCTTTGTTATATCCAAAAGCTTGAGTACAGAGTAATACATGCTTTTCATCATTTGATCATGATTTTTACTGTGAAGTGAGTTTCTTATGTTTGGTTTTTCGTTAAAGTCGATATTAATTCCTTCTCGTCTTCTTTTGACTTTGCCAGCCTCTTTCATTCCTGTGACACGGACGAATACTTCGCTTGGCATAAATGAAGACAAGTGGGAATAGGCACGCTCCTGTGTAAGCTACCAGAAATCAAAGGCGATTAGACACAACAAATGTCCTTTGTGATCTTTTGCAGCTCTCGGCTCTTGTTCGATCATGTTTAACTTAGTTTGTTAGGACCCTTACCGTTTAACACGATGGATAGGTACAGAAACTGTCAGTGCAGTTACTGTTAAAATAGTGGCCTGTGCCTTTGTCGGACGATAGATAACAAACTTTGGCTGCCATTCCTCTATATTTCTCTCAGCTGCAGACTTGTCAGGATGGATGTAGCCTCTTCTACTCATGTTACTCGATATTCTAAATGCGGTGAGAACTGACATTGGATACACTGCAGTACACGTTAATTACGGTATGACATTTCAACTTACAGGGGAATTCGTAGACCCTTCATCTTCCTCAATGAATATGGATATATCTCCTACAAGATCAGGTTTACAAATGCTGTGCGCTCTGTTTAACCTGTTTCAACTCGAACGCAGTCAACTAATGTTTTCGTTCAACCCGCTTTGTCACTTGATACACAATGGTTTGTAAGTTAAGACTCAGTAAGTCGGCAACTCGAAAAAGGATGCGAAGGACCCATCAAGGTCGTGCACCGAAAACCCAAGTACCGTGCCATCGATAAGAACGAAAACAACTCCATCGTAAACATCAATCTTCTGTGTGCCGCTTACCTAGAAGAAGTCTCTAGTTATATTGGGTTCCCTCTTCAGCAATCCTAAGATACAAGCTTAACAGTTACGATTTATTAAAAAAATCCGAAAAATAATTGTGTGAAAAATTTTCACACCATCGCATATTATCTGTATGCATGTATGCCAATTTATTATTTTTATGCCTGTTTCGTATCCTTGTGCACGTATGAGTCTAATTTGACATGCACTTACAATCACTTTCTTTTTTTAGCACGACTGGAGAAGATGAAAAACAGACCAACACGATGAATCAAAATTTTCATTGTACTTGTTTCTCATTATTATTGTGCCATATGTCCCTTTATATCAGTGGACGACAACAAGATGCTGCTGAACATGGAAAGCTATCAAAAGAGTGTTGACCTAGTGCAAGCTCATTGGTCTTAAACTTCTGACCAGCCACGTCTTAATGTCATCACTACCCCGCTTGGGAACGAGTGAGTTGTAGCGGTTAAAAAATTGTCAAAACAGATAGTTCTGTAAGTCCTCAGCATTGCTGCTGACCTCATCATCTTTACTGGACACACCCTTTCTGAAGACGCTCAGCCATGAATCCGCACCAGACCACAAATCGGATGTCGACCTACACAACCTTTACAACTACTAGCCAGCTTAGATGAGACGCTTATCAACAACCTAAATAAATATTTCAACTTACCCATCACTGGCTTCTGATTTAACCAGAATGGCATCCTTTGATTATAAAGTTGCCACGAGAATAGGTATTATCAAATCCTGGAAATCTGTAGGTGTCTAAATGAACTTTTTTGTTCCAAATAGACAGGATCAAGGTAAAATAAGTAAAAAGGCGACGAAAGACATGAACTTTTAGGTTTTTGTCGTTTAGAACCATAACTTCCAACAGATAATTGTTTTAATTATTCATTATTTTGGACAATAGTTTATATGTTACTACCGTCTTTTTAAACATGTTTTCTTATTTGAGTAAAAAAATTGCCATACCAAATAACGCAAAATTAAAATCAGCATCGTGGAGCAAAGAACATGGTTATGTGGCTTGTGGAGGAGAAGATGGGTTATTAAAGGTTTTAAAACTGGAGGTACAAAATGACACTAAGCACAAAGGCCTGGCTGCGCAAACAAATCTGGTAATGAATCAAACTCTGGATGGACATTCAGGTTGTCAATGTGTCCACATAAAAGTTACACATTTTACAGATGACGTCCAAGTTATCATTTGGAACGAAAAATTTAGGAAAATTACTTCATCTGACCAGAACGGCCTTATAATTGTGTGGATGCTTCATAAAGGGGCTTGGTATGAAGAGATGATCAATAACAGAAACAAATCTTCTGTTAAAGATATGAAAGTGATTTTGTGCATATTTTATACTAATGTGATTTAGTGGGATTGTGATGGCCAGAGAATATGTATAGTGTATGAAGATGGAGCTGCGATTGTTGGATCAGTTGATGGTAACAGAATCTGGGGGAAGGAGTTGAAACATGGAAGCCTCACATCAGTTGAGTGGTCACCAGATGGAAATATTCTGCTTTTTGGTCTGCTGACGGGGGAAATTTGTGTCTTTGATAGCTACGGAAACTTCCTGGTATGTGAAAATAATTTTATACTAAATTTCCAAAGACCGTCTTACATTTGAGTTAACCTTTAGTCAGTACGCTTTGTAATAAAAACCTTAGAGTTCTAAACTGCTGTTGCTTCTTTTGTGAGTTCTGTGATTACAGTTGAGTCTGAGTATATTAAGTGGTGATTACGTGTAGACGAAGTGACAGACACAAAGCCATGCACTTTATAAGATGAACTGATAAAAGATTAAATCGGCATCAAAAAATCAATATTATACTAACTTTTTTAAGTAGACAGGTTGAGTGGTAAAGTTATCCGAAGAGACATTTTCAAGCATAAAAACCGAGGCTAATTTTGAATGTGGTCTAAAATATGTTTATTATTATGAATATCGATGCTAAGGATACGAAACCAGATAACCAAGGGTTGCCGAATGCGTGTATTTGTATCATCATCTTTGTTTGGTACTTTTAGAAGATAGTACGGACAGATTTTAACGTCAACAACACAAAGTTCCCAAATTACTTTACCCTAGTTTTCGTCCCAACCAAATATTTCATAGCAAAGTGATATACCTGTAGAAAATATAAATTAATCAGAAGTTTTTTTACAAAGCCGACCGGGTTGTCTAAATTAGTTGAAAGATTTTGATTTGTTCCGGGAAAATTCCCCTCTCTATCATATCAAAGCATTCAATGACCGAAATGCTCCCATAACTTTAAAACATTTAGTCTGAAACCAATGCTCAGTTGTAGAAGTTCACATCAGAGTGTATCTTAGACAATTAGCGGAACTGGTAAAAGACTAGTCATGCAAATAATACAGCAAACTGCTGGAAATTGACAGCAAACATATATATTCAACCTGGACAAAAAATAAGCGTCATGCACATTGTTTACGTATAGAGTTCAGTGTTTGAGCATATATGGTACGAAACTTTCTGCTATACAGACGAACTAAAATAATTTGCAGAACTTAATAGCCATAGGCAGTCCACTCAAATTTTTAAGAGCATGCAAACTAAGGCAAATGAAAGTTAGCGAGGATGAACTGGGTATTAATATTTTTCTGATGAAAACTTAATTGATAATAGTTTTAGGCCGTACGCTCAGGGGCCGTTAAGCTCGTTTGGACCGACAACATTTGAGCCGCATTTGAAAATTATCCAAAATTATATTTGGTATAATAACCTTTGTCTTCTTGCGTTATCGTTGTTTGAGTTGACTCCCGCAGAAAGTGAGATTAGTTGAATCACTGGTAAAATTTTCACATTATTTCACCTATCTTCATTTATTTATGGTCTTTCGTTCGAATTAAATCTGTTCAAGTGTCAGTTTTTTACGAACAATAATTTTTAAACTTAGTATTTGATACAACTATCTGCAATATATGTAAAGCGAAAACATTCATCAGGATCCTTATTAGGCATTTCGAATTCAACAACATTTGTATCTTAGGGCCAGTGAATCACTGCTCAAAATACTTTCATTTACTAAAACATATTTTCCACAAGACTAGAGTAATATGTAAACGAAAACTTCTCTCCATTTTATTTGTATGTTTAAATAGAAATGGACAAATAAAAAAGTATGAATCATATTTTCTATACATATACAAAATTAATAGACTACCTTTCAGTGAATTATTCACCTCAACAAAGCGAAATCAGCCTTAAATTTTTATTAGTTTTTACCATTTACTTGTTTGCCAAAATATGCGTCAGCGGTCTCAAACCATAGCCAAAAATGTTAGTATAGAGTTGTGGAGATTGTTGAGTTCTTATTAAGATCATGAACCAATCAATGTTTGACAATTATTGGAAACCTGGAAGCATTAGGTGGTCATTTTGCCCCAGTATGGATCTCTTTATCAGTACACATCTACTATCCCGCACACAAGACTTGAACATGGAGCTTTCGGTCTTGCGTAAACGTTTGGCCTCCAGACCCTTGAGCCAGCATCCAATGGTGTTGGTATTTAACTTCAACCAATCCGTGATAATGCACGACCATCATAGTCCCACTAGTGGTTGTCTTCGAGAAGTAATTCTCTGAGTTATCGTGAAACGTTATGGCTTGAGTAGTTTAACCGTGGCAAGTGTGAGGCAATCATCCATCAAAGACAATGGAAGATAATCCCACAATATAGTGGATTGGTTGAAGTTAGACGTAGATAGTGTTGAATGCTAGCTCAGTGATCTAGAGTCTAAGAGTTCGCTATGCTGTTTTCACCAACGGTTAATACTTCTCTGTTGTTCTTATTCTTGCTTATTTATTTTCTCTGTCCAACTGTAAAATGCAACAACTTAGATTGGAGCACAATTTGACCATGCTTTTAGTTATTGGCATTTATCAGTCCAGTTGTTATTGATCACCGAAAACAATATTAAAAGTTCAAAATAAATCAAATACCCAAATATTTTTTCAGTCGCAGGACTAAATTATCATGCGTTATATTTATTAATATCTATTTTACAAAATTAGAAATGTTGAAAACTGTATTGATACAAACCGCTAAACTCTATTTTATAGCGCTATTAACTTTGAGTTTTCTACATTTAAATTGTTATGGTATTCTAGAACAAAATGCCCACTTATTGCTTGAACAATATACATGGTGCTGTTCGAATTATAAGTTTAGATTGGTATAAAGGAAGAAACAATTATGGTATCAGAATGCTACCTTCATTGGCTGTATGCTACGATGTTGGACGTTGTCAGCTGATGACTAATCATGAAGATCCAGGTAAATTCTTATTGTAGACGTATAAGGATCTAATGTTTTAGATTTTTATTATTTACACTAGCAATAAGATATATGCAGTATATACAACAGATTCGTTCAATAAAATATTGTTTTGTGTCTATCCATGTTAACAAACTTGGTTTAAGTATTCCGTACGCAAACAAATATCAAGAGGTAGCCATGACAAGTTTTAGACTTAAACATCACATCCAGCAGTTTTAGTTTATATAATATTTTAAATATCGTTACATTACTTATACACTGTTCCAGCATTATCTACAAATTGAACAGTAGTAATTTGTACAATCTATTTTTGATTACAGTGGCCACTGAGATTCAAAACATACGATTCATCCTACATAAGACTTCTGAAAATCTCCCCTTTTGTGAAACAAATACTCTTGATTTTAACACTGAATAAAATATTAATTACATTTGCTTTTAAACAATCGAGAAATAAGATTATCAGTTAACATATTCTGTTGAACAATAGTGAAGCTTAAAATGATTGTACTTTAGTTAGATTCGATGAAATTAAGTAAATTTTTCACATAGAACTAACTTTGATCTAATTAGATTAGTCGACATGAGCACACATATTCCATGTGCTTATTATATGTAAATTTATAAATCTTGTTTATAATGTTTAAATATTCACATCGTATTCATAAGTTAACAGCAGATTGTTGGGATAAGTTGGCACTTTCTTTAACGTTTTCTGCTTAACTACTGACGAGAAACCACAGTAAAGTAATTTTTATAACTAATAAAGTCATTCATATTTGAAAGAATATAGACAGTAAACGCGGTTTCTACGTCAAGATCGTTTACACATAACTCCAACTACGTACTTATAGTTAATGTTTGAAGAAGAAACGGTGGTATTACTTGTAATACCTGAGTAAATCGCTAGCATAACGAAAGAAAATATTTAAGTTATGTGGGATAATAGTTAGTAATTTATATATGGTGACAAGACGTATTTTCATATTGCCTGTTTTTTTATCAAATAGTAAAGCTAGTTTAAAGGTGAAATTAGGTAAACATAATCAACATAGAATCGTGTATATATTTGCAATGGTCCACGTTTTTATACCACATCAAGACAGAAAGATAAAATCATAAGGGTGAATACAGAAGTAACAGTGGTATCAATGATTAGATAAGGAATAGGATTTGAGAAGTTGAAAGTAAACTCGTTTGTTTTGTTATTGTCCTAGATCCAGTCCTATTAAATACTGGGATTCAAATAACCTGTTCTTGTTGGAACGAAGATGGATCTGTGTTAGCTGTAGCGGGAACACAAATGTCAACTGATCGTAATATAAACGTAGTACAGTTTTACAACCCATTTGGTCATGTAAGCTATAGTTTTCTTTAAAATATTGATCAAGATCTGAGTTGGAATATATTGGATCATGATAAGTAATAAACGGCTATTTTCTTCAAATATTATGCATTTCATATACTGAAAATGTTAACAGAGTACAGTGCTTACATTTGTTTATGATTCCTAGTTTCGTCTCAGACTGTTAAAGTGACTGATGTAGTTTATAAGAAAAATCTTCTTAGTTGCTGATAAAAGTTCTACAGTTTAAGACGTTAAATGAAATAATATTTAAAAAAAATACTCATCATCATAAGAAAAATGGCTATTTCCACAAAAGAGTAAGAGAAAAATGATAAGCCATTCTTGTAGCAGATGTAATTTTATCTTGAATGCGTACACATTTTGCGTTTTTAAAAGTTAGGGCCAGACCAAAAGACTAAATCGTATTACATCGATTACTCTTAATTTATAAATGAACGCTTAAGAAATAAAATAGAGACGGGCATTTCCAGGATTTCGCAATTCTAGTTAGTAGATGGTTGATTTGTCTTATTGATAGTTTTTCTGAGCTTATTCCCTATTTATCCAAAGTAGTTATGATATGTATAAACTACTATTGAAGTATTTTAGAAGTATGTATGTAATTTCGTACTTATTAGAGAGTATCTAGTCTATTAGGAGAACACAATTTCATCTTTAGGAAGTTTACCTACTTTTATTCACTGATTAATCAATATTATTTTATTTTATTTCATAGCATTTAAGTACATTACTTTTACCTGGTAAATGCTTAACAGCATGTACATGGGAAGGTAATGGTTCACTTAGATTAGCTTTGGCAGTTGATTCTTTTCTATACTTTGCCAATTTACGTCCACATTATAAATGGGCATACAGTTCAACAGCGAATACAATAATTTACAATTATGCACGTCCACATACATTTGAACATTTAATTACATTTTGGAATTTGAAAACAAACAAGGTAAGATAAATAAATATTAAAACAATAATTAGTGTAATTGATTTACCAAGTGTAAATTTAAGTATTCAACTTCAAAGAATACCGTTTGTGCTGTAATTTATAATAGTCGTAATTGAGGATTAGAGAAGTTGAGTGAATGATATAACTCAGGTGCATTCACTCATTGTATTCACTTAAATCTTGAGTCTTAAAAATATCTTGTATTTTTTATTCCATGACTTCATCTTTCTATCTTGAATCATATTGCCTATGCGTAATCTTCCTTGCTAGCACTAATGCTGTTACTACTTCTATCATTCTGAGATTAATCTCGATAATTTCATTTTACGGTGCTGATATGATCTTGAAACTTGAACCAATGCAAATATATTCCAGGTCCATTTTTTTTACCAACTGGTTGATTGTTGCCACTCATTTGATCTAAATTGAATTCGATGAGATGGAGTTCAAACTTGTGATCTATTGGTTCACAGATGAATAGTTTAACCCCTAAGTCAAACGTAAATTTTATTTTGTAAACATGTTATGTTGTGAAAAATGTTTAATTAAAAAGGATAGTTAGAGCAATAGTTATAACCTAGTGATTCACTTTGTTTCGTTCTAATAATAAAAAATATCTTTTTTTTGACGATACATAACATTAAATAACTGTGAAGTTTCGATCGATATTTTATTATCCCGTATTTATCAGAAGGAGGTTTTGTGGAGATTTTAGTAATTTAATAATTGACTTCATGAGTCAATTAAAGCTAGACCACCATGAAAAATATGGAAGCACTGGACAACCGTTTCGTCCTAGTATGGGACTCCTCAGTATTGCGAATCCACTATCCCGCCCAGCGTGATTCGAACCCATGACCTATCAGTCTTGTGAGCGAACGCTTAACCTCTAGACCACTTGGTTTGAATCACACAGGGCTGGATAGTGGATTTGCACTACTGAGGAGTCCCATACTAGGACGAAACGGTTGTCCAGTGCTTCCATATTTTCCATGGTGGTCTAGCTTTAATTGACTCATGAATTCAACTATAAAATTACTAAAATCTCCACAAAACTCCCTTTTGATAATAATTTTTGTTTGTCATTATTTTTAAAACAATATCCCTAATATGTTTAAAGATGATCAATCGACAGTGAACATGTTAAGTAGCAAAAAGACAAAACATCGTAATTTTTTTGTAATTTTAAATGTTGTAGTTGCATTTTTTCATTGTAGACTAAGATAATTTCCGTTCATCATTTAATCGATATTTGTGCTTCAGAAGATTATGTATGCTTGATTTGTAAACCTAGCGATGCTGGTCAAGGGGTAAGTTTCCAATTTAAACTAATTAGCACGTTTTACTTTTACCTGTAGATAAATCTATGTATCTGCTGTTGCATGTAATCACAACTATTTGGCATAAATTTCGTATTTCTTCACTGTTGAAGTTTGGGTGAACATCGAAGTGACAATCATTATAATAAAAAATCCTAGAATATTCGCATAAATAGTTTACTTTCTAAACTAACCAGTCATCAAACACAAAATTTATTTGTGAATTTACTTAGGCTATAATCACGTCTCATAGTTCCCTTATAGAAACAGACTGTAGGAAAAAAAACAGGAGAGTGCGAAACTCGGATAATTATATTCCCTTGGTGTTGTTTGAATTGTATCTTCCGATTGTTACTTAGGACTTCAATTGATCAGTCTCATGTTGACATACGTGCATCGTGTGCGGATTGCGGATTGGGAAGATACAAGTAAAACAACACCAAGTGAATTTAAACTTCACCCCATTGTACAAGCAGGTGGCTATCAGCACTCAGTAGCTAAGTGGATGGCGTTTGAAGTGAACGGTACTGGGTTCGGTTCCCGGAGTGAACATCAACTCTGCGATGCGGGTAAATCCAGCTGACGAGTCCCACTGCTAGCCATTATCCATCTTCGGATAATTATAGCTTAATGGAAAACTTTAAATTCTTCAGAGAAGCTTTGATCATACAGTTATATTATTATTAGTCACAACTGATTGATCACTGGGTAGGTGGGTGGTGATCAATGTCATGTGTGTCAAGTCCTCTTTAGTGCTTATTATTGTTAGATGACCACATTTAGCGGGTTGTTTCAGATTTATTAATTATTTTTGTATCGTTTACCATCTTAAAATTACAAGAATTAAATCAAACAAAATTGTTAAACTAACTTAACAGATCATTTATAAATGTCTGTTGTGAACTTAAAATGCGAATAAGCGCAAAAAATTAATCATAAACAGATTGAATCACTGAACAAAGATATCTGTGTTTATTATTTTTGACTTTTAGCAGTTAATGAGGAAATTTGTGATTTAATTATCATGTTTATTGTCATTAAGGAATGGGATAAAATATTTGTTAATCAAATTACAACTCAATCTTACCAAACTGGTGGCTATCACGACTCAGTATCTAAGTGAATAACGCGATGACGTTTGAAGCAAACGGTATTGGGTTTAAGTTAACGAGATTAGTTAAATATGTACTCTCCAATAAGTAATTTCTAGGAAACTAAAAGTTTGTTAGGTCAACTCATAAAACATTTATGTCGGAAGTTTTAATAGAAAAACTATTTTATGACATAGAATATTATACTGTGAGATATATCTCTACAAGTACGCTGCATCAGTAAGTGTACCAACTGGTGACTCACCCCGATTCAAGAGACAAACTACGATTGGTAGAATATAAGTATATCAGTAGTATGGTATTTGCCAACCTTCAGAACCGGACGGTAGGTGTGATAAAACTATGAACCATATGATTCCTATCATGTTCCGCAGTCATCTGATTCAGACACAGCCACATATGCCTTCTAAATGCTTTTTGAACCTACTGTTAAAGTGAGAAGATTAGGAATGACTAAGATGATATATCTGATAAACCGAACAAAGTGTACATATATCACCCATACATCTGTCCTTCTAACTCAAACAGGGTATATAGGCTGAGACTTTGACTAGATGCATAATCTGCTTTATTCAATAGCCTACCTTGCTCTTGTCATTCTTCGCCATTTGACTTATAGAAAGTATGTCAGCACATGCGCGCGATATGTATAAAAATGCCCTATCAATCATGATTCAATGATTTTAATGTGTTATGCTCATTAGAAGATCTGAAAAATTTAGGTCCGGTCCCCGATAGAATTATGGTTAAATACTACTGAGAAGTTGACAAACTAAAATGAAACTGTCATCTACTGCTCGCCGCTTTTCATTGCTTCACCAGTGAACATTCCCATTGAAACTTAACCTCGGATTCTGCTTCCTGATTCTGAGAAAAGTTACTCACTGTAGAGTTTGATCGTTTTTACTTCACATTATATTACTAAAAATATCTTACGTCAGCTGGCATTGACGTTTATCAAAATTGAATAAGTGAACATTTAATTTATGGAGGTTTCAAAACTAAATCAAATTTAATGATAATGTTAATATTTTTGGAATGGAATATCATTTTATGTAATTTGAGTCCTGGCTGCAGTTGGATTGAACATCAACTTTGGTATGCAGGTATGTCCAAATGACGAGTCCCAAATAGGACAAAACGCGCATCTTGGATTCCATTGCTAGCCACCACCCATCTTTGCTTATAATGCTTGTGAATTAAGGCAATATAGTGGAAATGCACACAGGATGCACATATTCCAATAAGAGACTGATCAGTTGTAATCCTAAACAACAATGGGAAGATTCAAATAAACAATACAAAATGAATTCAATCATAACAGTTTGTACTATGTGGAAATGTTTCTCTATCGAAAAATGTAAACTAATGATACTGTCAACCACCTTATTTCAGACCATAGTTTTATTTACATTCACTTAGGATTAATAATAGTGTGGCCTGAGAAAATTATTTCTTATATTTAATTAACTTAATATTAACAATCATCGATTAGAAGATTAGATATTAATAATCTTAGAATAATTTTTCTTCAGCTATTTCATAAACTAAACTAAAGTTATAAAAATACTTATTGTTTTCACAGAATGTAATTCTAATAGCGATAAGTAGTTACTTTGGAACTCTCTTTAGTAGCATGAAATAAAGAATCAACCTTAATGCAATTAAAACAGACGTACATACAGTATACATTGGAAAGTGAAACAGTTATTAAAATTGTTTGATTCTAGAAAAATCTATTATATAATAACAATCGTTAATTAGTATTGTGGTGTGTGCTACTTATATTGATATAAGTAGTGTATGACGCGAGTCAAGAATGTAATGTCTGGTGGCAGAAGATGGGGAAGATCAAGAAAGGAAGAGCGGGAATAGAAAGCAATTAGTATGGAAATGCAAGAACAATGAAGTTCGAGACAATTATTGAACATTTTGCAAATTAGGTATTATAGTATGGTTTTTCTATTTTACCAAGTAACTCTGTAATTTTGTCTTCAATATAATTCGGTTGATCCTCACCTGTGATCACCTTCACTACAGTATGATCCAAATTGATCAGTTACTGGTAGGTTTTGATTAGATTTTCATCAGAAGACAATGGTATCTACTTTTTGATTTATTTATAGGGATAGCAAGTAGTGGTTTGAATATATATTTGAAGATCACTGTGTATTTTCGATTTGGAATATTGAGTTGTGCACAAATACCATAAGTAGTAAGTCATAAGACAATAAATAACTTAAGAATGATTATCTAACATATGGACTACAGAGTTTAGGTAATTTTCGTTTGCATTAAATAACATGAATTAGTGTACAAAAAAACACGATATGTGAAATATCGGTTTTCTTTATTTTTTTTTTTTACCAAAAAAGTCGACTTATTTATTCATAAGTGTAATGGGAACACTGAATATTCGAAAAATGAACTGCAACTTGTAATGCTTTCTTTTAACCCATTCTAGGTTATTTTAACCATGTATACTGCAATTGGTGTTGCAATAGAATCAAAACATGTACAATTTGAACCAACTCAATCAATGATGACTTCAAATCAAATTATTTTAATTAATAAAAGTTTCATTTATAGTTGGCAATATTTTACACCGAAACAAATACTTGATTTAGGTTTTAAATTTACATCATCGACACTTCGTCAACGTGATGGAATTGAAAGGTCAGTTGAGAGTGATACTTAAATAAGTTGTGAATTGTTTAGAAAATAATTTAGGGTTGTGATGATTGATTTCTTTTTTTAATCTATGTTATTAGCACAAACTACTTTAGGTTGATTTTTTTTTGTAAGCAATCATGGATAGTGACTAGCAGTGAAATCCAGGACGCGCGTTTCGTCCTGTTTGGGACTCGTCAGCTGGATGTACCTGCATCTCAGAGTTGATGTTCACTCTGGGACTCGAATCCAGTACCATTCGCTTCAAACGCCATCGCGTTATCCACTGAGCTACTGAGTCCCGATAGCCACTTGCTATACAAGCCAAATAATACTGAGTGAATTGAAATTCACCCCATTGCACAAGCAAGAGTGAACATCAACTCCGAGATGCAGGTACATCCAGCTGACGAGTCCCAAATAGGACGAAACGCGCGTCCTGGATTCCACTGCTAGCCACTATCCATCATTGCTTACACATAGCTTGTGAATTAAGGCAATAAAGAGGCATACGCACAGTATGCACATATGCCAATAACAGACTGATCAATCGCAGTCTTAAACCTCAATGGGAAGATACAAGCCAAATAATACCAAGTATACTTTAGGTTGATTTGTCGTAGGATAAAGAGTTAACATGATGAAAATCACTGAAATGTAGCTTATAAATGATAACTGAATGAGCTTGGTTTTATTCAAGGAATGGAATTAAATTAAACTTCATGTGTCAAAATCAACTAGTTAACACATGATCATCTGGAAGCTCTAATGTAGATAGAAAATCTTGACTAACTATATGTTTGAAAATATTCTATGCATATTTTAACTACTTGAACATGAAATAAGTAGTCACTGTAACATACTTTGTGTATGAAATCTCAGTGTTAGGATTTCAGTATTTCATCATCTTAGATTTTAAAAGTTGTAAAGATAACCAGTAAAGTGATAAAGCGTCAACACTAGTGATATGTGAAATCCTGTTCAAAACAAGGACAACTTACGATTTTTTAATTAACCTAGTAGTTGAATGGTGTTTTGCTTAAATGTAATCTTGACAATTGAAGGTTACGTGGTTTCCTGTCGATTACATTCAACTAACTAATATCGAAAAATTATGCATGCGATATAAATTTATTTAGATTGGTGGTAACTTTACACCTTTATTGATAGAATTCAATCAGCATTAAGAACTTGATAAACATTACATTGTTCACTACTCAATGGTGGATTAATGTTGCAAAAAGGTCATATTACCTTATGCCCTTGAACTTTTATAATTAATACGACTAATTTATGTGTATCCCCAGTCTTTACTGGTCGGTTTTCACCTACCGGAATGGGTTTTAAACCGAGTAGATGCTTTGTTCAAGTTTCCAGCACTGAATTTGCACAATACCATTGAAGAAGTGCTACAAGACCTTTAGGTGTCACTGAAAGCACTCTGCCTTCGATTAATAAGGTGAAATTGAATAGCTCACGCTATCAACTTCATTTATTTATCAAATTTATATTAAAAATGTGAGATTTCTAAACGATTTAATGAGATAATACAAAGCAAAGAACAAAATACTCTGTAGATTATTGATAAATATTTTCAGGAAATCAAATACAATATTGAATCCAATAAGACTTGTTTCTTGATATTCTCTTACTGACTATTCATTTAAAATATTCTCCTTTGAATCACTTGAACTTTCTTATTCTTCTTCGTATTATTATTAGAGAATTTTTCTAATTTCTGGATGTTGGTTAAATTTAGGCTTTATCATATTGATACAATTTCATTAAAAACTGTATCATCGGATTTGGTTGATGATGATATTTCTTCATCAATATTTCAAACAAAAGTTGACTGGAACTTAATGAATCAACCAGTTTCATCTGATCCAATATCTACATTGACAATTAGTCATTCTACTAGACGTTTACTTATTGCTCGAGAGTCTGGTTTAATACAAATTTACAGGTTACCTGATTTATATTATGAAATGAAATTTTCAGTAGGTGATAATTGTCCGTATCGGATATATGTCAATTGTGATGCCACGTAAGTGAATTTAAATGATTTCTGTTGAATTGTCTTATGGAACAATTATATAGACAATCAAAATGTAGACCAGTTATTCGTTTTAATGTTAACCATTTGGTTATGTTGCTTAAATTTAAAAAAAATAAGTTACTTCAGAAGTTAATTCCCGGATTTCTAATGAAGAGCCGTGATAACTTGAGTTCAGCCAAGTTGAGATTGAAGCAGTTAAACAACAATGTTAATAGTTGATAGAATTGACGAAAATTACAAATGTAAGCCATCAAATGCCAACTCATTAGTCTAAAGGTTAGATGTTCACCGATTAACATGATCTTAAATTCGATCTCTGGTGGGGTCATGGATGAACACTACAGAATACTAAGCTTAAACTAGTACAAAACAGATGTCTACTGATTCTTGGTTCTAATGGTTGTCCAGCTACAGTCAGTTAACGATATTAACTACAACTTTGTTACTATTTTATTTTTAACACAATTTGTTTTCTAGTTGTCTAGGTGTAATCGATGAATCGGGTATTTTTCGGTTACATCTAATACCAGACAATTCCACTAGTCTTTCATCATCTGTCAAATTTCAAAATATTGATAATTTCATGAGAAAAGATGTTTGGGATGTTAAATTTGAGGAAGTGAGTTTTATTAGTAATAATAATAATGTTTAGTTAAAGAATTTCACACATCACTAATGAATTTGTTAGTGGAGGGGCTTAAATGATTTAGCGTATCGATAATCTAAACTAATACACTTCTCATGGAGTTCAAATAACGCCTTACTCAATGAAGTAAGCGAATGTTGGGAATTTCTATAACTAGCCACAAGTGCATTCTAATTGTAAGAGATTTGGCAAATTAAGCTAGTAACGTAACTCAGAATCAATTGCAATAGCTTAGATGAGTTCACTTTTTATCTTCCCTGAAAACCTGTGTTCTATATTATCTCATATGTTTTTGCTCTACAAATTTATTTCTTCTAATCGATTATTTTCTCTCTACCTAGTCTTTCTTATTACTATTGATATTGTTACTACTTTTACTACTCTGGTATTTGTCTTCGTTATTTTTTCTCAGTATGCTCATTCGATAAGGCATTATGAACCGATACATATGTTTGACAGGTTCTGTTCAACTTATGACTGACTGAATCTGATTTACATCACGGACCGACCTTAAGTAAACAGTTATTATAAAACAAAGAACATTAAACAGCTATTTCAAGCTCAATAAACAGTTATCTGGTGCTTCCTAGTTATAAATGGCAGTCAAGCAGTAATATGAACTATTTTCGAATTAAATGATTTCTTAACAAGTCTTCCACGTTAATAAATAGTTTAAATTAAACTGTGAAATTACCGAAGCTATTAAAATCAATGAAATCTACTATGAATTGAGTATTAAATAGTGATACATCTATTCATATGATTTTCATGTCCTTTTCTTCTCCAGTTCTATGAGCAAAGTTTTAAAAAAGGATCTTTTCGTTTCAAAATCTTTCCTAATAGTTTGCTATCTCACACAATGCTCGTGGTACTTAACTTCCTAGTTATGTCATTGAACGTTTTGTGATATTGCAGTAGCTATAGATGGAAGGTTGTACAAAACAAAAAACTCAAATACAATAAAATTGTGTGAAATAACTTTGAAGTTTTATAACATTCAAGGAAGTTTAACAAGTACTAATCAATGAGTTTTAGTAACATGTGATTTAGTAAGCTTCACCTCTGACTATAGTCGGTTTCTGGATTAAAGTAAGTGTCTGGGGTCAGAATAGAATTCTGAAATAGGTGTGGTCAAACAGCTCAATCCATTGTAGTTAAATCCATTTAATTGTTTGCAGTTATTTTTGATTACATATAAGAGATAGAATTATAACGAATATCATATCTCGTTATGTAGTAAACTGTTCTCACAATTATTCACTCTGTATGAGTTCTTTAGTATTCTATGGAATGAAATTTAAGATTTTACCAATATTCACAAAGTGGTGACTAGCCTACAATCATGATAGCACAAATGTTTAACAGATTTTAGTAAACGCTTATTCAAGGGTCTATATATTATCCTTAGTGAAGAATGACTTCATAGCCATATCTAAATCTGTATATGTTTATGTGCTACTCCTAGTAGTTAAACTCCGCTTGGAGCCCCTCTAGGGCTACTGCTGGTCCCAAGCCCAGATAAAGGGGGAGGGTTGGGCACGGGGTTAGGGATGCAGTCCCGTAGAAAACTAAATCTCTAAAAAAAGCTAACCAGAAAAAATTATTCAAATCATTTAAATCTGCCCTGGGAATTAGAAGGTCTTCATTTAGAAGAGTTATGACGCCTCATTGTGAAAGCCGAGTTCCTTCAGAAGTCACGAGGCCGATGCCCCTTCTGACAACCAGAGCAACCATTTATTTAAGTACATGGAATGATCGTACAATGTGGGAGACCCGGAGAGTCTTCCAAACCGCTGCGTTGCTACTGCTTCTAGTAGTTAGAGTCTATAATTATCTTGGAAAATATTTACTTCTTAATTACTGAAATAAGAGCTAAAGCTTTATGAATTACTATCTATTTAAAGATTTCTGAATCAAATTTCAAAACTGTGCTACAGAAATTCATTCAGTATGGTTTGCTTGAATCTCCCTATTGATGTTTAGGACTGCAATTGATTAGTCTCTTACTGGTTATATGTGCATCTTGTGCGGATTGCCTCTGTATTATCCTAAATATTACAGTACATGGTCATTCTATTACTTTTAAAACTTATTTTGTTGTGATTATATAATACTAAATTTACTTACATTTTAATTTTACAGGATAATCCTGATATATTTGCTATAATGGAAAAAACTCGAATGTATATATTTGATGGTTTACAATCTGAACCAGCAATTCATACATCTACATACCTTTATGAATTTAAAAATTTAGAAGTTCAAGGTATTCTATTAGATGAATTAGTGAAAACTGTAAATATTCAACCAAATGAAGAATTTCTTTTAAAGACACCAATAAAGGTATGCTAGATATACTTCATATAGTATTTATCAATTGTTATACCATTATAACTAAATCAATGTAACTCTTTTATCAAATACAAGTTGATTTATTTAGTTTGCTGCCACACTATTTGTACATAAAAGTGAGTTATACTGCTGGGATTGTATAAATCAAAGAAGGAAGAATAGAATTCAAGCTTCCGATCCATTGATTGAAAGTTCATTAATGTAACAACCAAGCCAAACATTTTTAGGCTTGATTCAGGATTATATAGTTGTTAAGTATAATATTTGCTTCTACTATGTGAATTCAGATGATAAACAAATCAAGCTAATAGGTATCATTACCAAGGTTTGATTTGATAATTTCGAATAAATTGCACATTGGGTAGATTGTTATAAATAAATAGTATTTTTGTAATATCCCAATGAGTAGAAAAATTAGATTTTCTGACGTTTCGTGGCTTAGTGTAAGTTACTTCTTCAGAGAATAAATAACCAAATTAAAATTAATCCAAGTTTAAATAGTACAACGGAACAATTTATAAATCATGCTAAGTTCACTTGATAATGTCAGGATCATATTGAAAAGATTTATCAATCAATTTCCAGTAAAAATAGGTTAACAAAACAACCGACTGTTAACTTGTATCATTCAAGTACTGATTATCTACAACCATTCAATTTATTATTAGTATACTTTAATGACTGAGATATTCAATTTCATACTAAAATAAATTGAACAAAACTAACTATAACTAAGAACAGTTTTACATATGACTGATAATAGTCTTTTCTACCACACAGGACATATCTGATATTATTACTTTATCTGCGTAGATTTGTGGTGTTTGTTACTTTAACTATTAAACCAATGAGTATAGTATGTGAAAACATCAATTTATTATTATTATCAGAAGGGGTTTTGTGGAGATTTTAGAAATTTCACTAGTTGAAATCATGAGTCAGTTGAATCTCATGGGGGGTGGGCGGGATCGTGGATGCGCACTGCTGAGGAGTCCTATACTAGGACGAAACGACTGTCCAGTGCTTCCAGGTTTTTCATAGTGGTCTATCTTCATTCGACTCATGATTTCAACTAGTGAAATTTCTAAAATCTCCACAAAACCTCTTCTGATAATAATCATCTGCTCACTTGTGACTGACTTCTAGAGGCATTTCCTGGAGTTCTATTGAGAAGCCGTTATCAGAGATTCTGTGACATGTATGTATGAATTCCACTCCAAGGGGGAATACTAGATCATCAGTAGTAATCTATCTTATATCCAAATTCTTTTTAAAATAAATATTCAGTTATTCCCTAGTTATTTCTATATTTCTATAATGGTCTGCTGAATTAGGTAAATATTTATATTATAGTTATTAGTACAGTGCATGGGTATTCTATTACCTTGAAAATATATGAATTATCATTTGTAGTATCGGTTACTACTATGTTAAGTTCATATACCTTATTCTAGCTTCTGAACAGGCCATTTATCAATTCTTCTTGAATCACATTTTGACCTTGTTTTTATATGAGCGTATATGCGTGTACTACTCTTATCCTACTCATCCCAGGTTTGAAGCTTATTTTTATGTGACTATGAATATTGATTAGCGCTTGATTAAATCGACTTGGTACACACGGTCTCTCCACTGTGCGTCGTTTCGCTTCACTCTCTTCTCTTCACTTCCTTCGCTTTGTCCCTCTAATTGATCAATGAATGTACAAAGTATATATATATATAAACTCGAAAATCCATTCTCCTATTTGACTTATTTAACTCCGTGGTACATTAACGCGAGTTAAGTCGATGATTATATACGTGGATAGACGATATGTATGTTTTGACAATAGTCGTTCATACGATATAATTAGTGTCAGATTCCATGCCACTAATATGATGAACCCGTCGATAACATCGTCTGATCTAATTGACGTCAAAATGAAGGACCACACAGTTACTGATTTAAAATTATTTTCTATATTGTTTTTCTCTTATTTTATCCCATAATATTTTAATTTAATATAAATTAATAGAAAGTTCGAGATTTTAAGCAAATATTAGAAAAAGATGGATTAGAAAAAGCATCGGAATTTATTAATAATAATCCACATACTAAATTAAGGTGAGTGTAGTGATTTTTACGTTTGTATTTTTTGTGACCATTAATTAAACACTGTGTTATAAGACTCCATTTATTAACCAATTGATGAAGGTCATTGTGTGGTGTGGTGGGTTACTTATATCCACATAAGTAGTATATAACGGTGGTCAGGTATAGAATGTATTTCAGTAGATCGATAAGAGAAGAACGAGAACGGAACGCAATTGGTATGAAAAAGCATGAATAAAGAAATCTGAGACAATGAACTGATGTTTTACAAAGGGACATTCAAATTTTAGACGATGGATTGATATTTTGCAAATTAACTACTTACTATATGGTTCTCAGAATTTATAGAGATGTTCTGTAATTTTGTGCTCAAATACATTCGAATGTGCCCACTCGTGTTCTTGCTCTCTATAATCGTACTATGAAATGTACATATTGGTATTATGAAAGCGTCACATTGTTTTTAGAAACATTATCGTAACCCAACTAGATATTTGTGCCTAATGTAAACATTAAATCCATACTGTTTAGTTACGTATGTATATAAGGACGAAAATTGCTGAATACCATGAAGCACTTAACATCTAGTTCATTGTACTTTGTTTTATTCCAACGTAAACATAGTGGTTATCCAGTGATCTAGTAAATAAACTAATTTATCAACTGTTTCCAGTCTATAATAAAATCTGTCTTCAAGATTGTACCAATTCCAATGGGTATCTACCGAACCAGACAATTTCATTTTTATTCCTAATTATTTATATTCCATAAAGAAATCTTAGTAGTAACATTTATTAGTAAATCTCTGTGATGTTTGTTATACATAATTTACAATAAGGTAGACCTTTCTATCATATTCAGTTCATCGACAATCAAATCACATAATCAACTCTATTCTTTGAGCTAGGAGTATGTCATTGTTTTCAGTCAAAGTGATTCAATAAACACAGAGCCTATGCTTTCTGAAGTTTATTGAAGCATTCATATTAACAGCACTTTAATAACCTACTGTATGTACGAAACCTTTATAGTCAAATAGTACGGGTGAAGTAATGATAAACCCATAATTTAAAACATGTTCAAATAATTAGACACAGTTTGTGTTAAAATTTAATCTCGATAATTATTTTGTTCTGAAATTCAACATATTCATAAGGAAACTATTCAACAACTGATAATAATCATCCAGATATCATCAAACAAACATTACCACCGGCGAGTAAGTCTGTCTTTTCCTTGACTTAATCTGAAGGTTTTATGTGTGATTCAATGTAGTATCAATGTTATGTGTTTCTAAAGAGTCCGAAAATCTGATATATAATTATCCTTCATTTTTAATGTCGGTCTATTGTCATGACTACTGATATAAATTGCATGGCCATTGAACACCGAAAAAAAAATTAGATAATTGTCTTTTGTCTTATTTGAAGATTATCTACAGTCAACGATTTGTAGCCACTATATGCGAACTAACAGGTACATATAACTGACTGTTGAATTTCTGATTTTCTTCCTATAATTGACTTCTGCTCTGAACTGCGTATAGACTGCTTATGATTGTGTTGAAAATTTTATTGTCTAATCTGGTTCCCTATATTTGATCGTAAATCATGTATCTGATTCAATGTAATACAGTCTGCATATAGCATGTCGATCTTGGCCAACAGTTGTATTATCGTATAATAATGGAAACAGAAACTATTTTTTATGCTCTCGTTATACCAGTTAATTTTTTTAAGGATTTTCTTATTGTGCTTATGTTACAACAGATTGATGTTGTTTATCTTTTTACCTCAGACATTTATTCATTGAAGCTTGTTTGGAAAAGCAAAATTTAGAAATGGCTGAATTACAATTTGTTCATTTACAAGAATATTCAGGAATACAGTTTATTAAAAGATTGAGAAATATTCAGTCAAAGTTAATTAGAAAAGTAATTTTCTTAAATTTTTGTAGAAATCATTATGAGTTAGTGTATATTCATTCTCTTCCAAGGTATTTTAATCCATAGACTTACTTACTTACGCCTGTTACTCCTCGTGAAGGAACATAGGCTGCTCACTAGCATTCGCCATCCAACCCTGTCCTAGGCAATCCTTTCCAGCTCCTTCCAGTCATTATTCATCCTTTCCATATCTGATTCCATTTCCCGACGTAATGTGTTCTTTGGCCTTCCTCTTTTCCGCCTTCCTTCAAGATTCCAAGTTAGGGCTTGTCTCGTGATTCAGTTTGACGATTTGAGTAATGTATGTCCTATCCATTTCCATCGTTTTTCTCCTAATTTCTTGTTCAGCTGGAAGCTGGTTTGTTCTCTCCCAGAGAAGGCTGTTGCTGGTGGTATCCGACCAATGGATGTTGAGTACCTTGCGTAGACAACCATTTATAAATACTTGTACCTTCTTGATGGTGGTTGTTGTTGTAGTTCTCCAAGTTTCAGCTCCTTACAATAGAACTGCCTTGATGTTGGTATTGAAGATTCTGACTTTGATATTAGTTGGAAGTTGTTTTGAGTTCCATATGTTCTTCAATTGTAGGACTGCGGCCCTCGTTTTGCCAATCCTCGTCGTTACGTCTGCATCTGATCCTCCTTGTTCATCGATTATGCTTCCCAGGTATGTGAAGGATTTCGCATCTTCCAGAGTTTCGCCATCAAGAGTGATTGGGTTGCTGTTCTCCCAGTTGTATTTGAGGACCTTGGTTTTTCCCTTGTGTATGTTGAGGCCTATCGATCAGGGCGTTCACGGCTACTTTTGGCTATAATTTGTACGAGTGTTATTTTCTATTTTATGCTCCAATGCGGTCTTTTTGGTTGATATATAAACCCAGTATGTCTGAAATAAATGATTCGCATGGTGGAGTTTGTTATCGGCATTCTGGACTCAACTGGACGGGCTAGGCGAGCAACGAAACAATAGGACGCTAGGCTGATCGGATTAGATGTCATTGGTTTACTACAGTACAAGAGCGAATAGGTCATATTTTGTTTGACGAGTAAATTACGTGTTAAAAAGCGGGCCTAAAGATATAACAAATTGGCGATGGGGATTTTGAAAAGAGCTAAGCCATAATAGTTGCCGGTGGTTTTTGGAGTTAATACTATTAGCAGAAAAAAGAATGGCAATTTCTTCGGAACATTTGAAGTTATTATTACAGTAGCAGCAGCAGCAGTAAATGTTAGCTGTTCAACAGCAACTTCTGGAAACACTTTTGGGGAAACTATTTATTCAACAAGATATCCTAGAACAGGCAATAGTCTAGTAATGGCCATTTCAGAAGCATGCTTTGTGGAGGGTTCAAATCCCTTTATACCTGAAGCAAAATGTAATATTGATAAACTGTTCGACTCAAACCAAGACAATATCTTGCTAAATGCACTTGAAGTTGTGATAACACCAGATGATTAAGAAAAACAGATCCCGTAGATGAAACCCTGAGTACAGAATCAAAACGAAGCTTATAATAACAGGAACATAGATATACACAGTCTAGTTACTGAATAGTTATACTATAAGAATATGCAGATGATATTTGTCTACTAATAGTTCTTAGAAGTTACTCGTAATCTAATCTTCGCTAGGATATAACAGGTAGTAACATTGATATCCTACAAATAATCACCATATTTGTGTATAACATATAGCTTTTAAGCTATTTAGTTAAACTATTTAGATAGTTTCAGTAATCTACAAACTATGGAGTAATTGTAAAATAGGCTTTAATACCTGAAACAGGTACAATTTAATGGTATCTATGATACAGTTTTTAGATACTATGTGTTCTGTACTAACTTCAAGGTTAAAACCAAACTAACCAATGAAAATTCCATGATTGTAAATAATCAGTTCTTCATTTACTTTGTTTATCATTTTTTTTTTGGTTTCTAATATTCAATTTCAATATTAAATACATTTGATTAAATTAATGAACTTCTACATTTTAACATTATTTACAAGGCAGAAATACTTGTTTATTTCAAAAAATATGATGAAGCTGAAACACTATTGTTAAATAATGATCGTTCAGATTTAGCAGTAGAATTAAGAAAACGATTAGGTGATTGGTTTCGTGTAGCTCAATTAACTAAAGATACTGGTGTACTAATGAAAGATTTAGAACAAGCTGAAATATGGAATGGTATAGGTGATTATTATTATAATCAAATGTTATGGTAAGATCATTTATTGTTATTATTTATGGATTATGTTTTCAGTAGAAAATATGACTGAAAGATTTCATATAAGGATATGATACTGGAAGAATAAGTTTGTAGAAAGAAAGGTATAAAGTAATTTTAATCTCATTGTTTCATGACTGCAGTTCGTTCCGTCCTACTTTATGGCAGTGAAACATGGCCGGTAAGAGTAGAGGATATTCGTAGGTTACTAGTATTCAATCATAGGTGTCTACGAAGCATTACTCGTATATCCTGGGACCACCAAGTAAGTAACGCAGTTGTTAGGAAACGGGTATTAGGTAAGGAAGGCAAATCAATTGATGAAGTTTCACTACTTCATCAATTGAGATGGCTGGGACATGTGTTACGTATGTCCGACCACTGACTGCCTCGAAGTGCGATGTTTTACGGTGTAGGAGTAAGTTGGAAAATAGCTAGGGTTGACCAGACCAAAACATGGCACAAATCCATGAAGTCATTGACAAGTGGACTGAGCCATGTTGGTAGGTGTAGACTACCTGGTTGGAGACCGTGAAATGATAGTAACCGATGGTTAGAGACCTTGAATGACATGGCTCGAAATCGTTTTCAATAGCACAGGTGCATCCACTCTTTGTGTTCTCCCGAATTTTAATCTTCTGAATTCTTCATGTCCCTTTTCTCTCTTTCCGAATATATTTCACTGGATCATACTCCTTGAATAACATCTTCAAACATTAATGTTTCCGATCACTTCTTATACTTTTACTACCTCTATCACTATCGGATTTGAATCGACAGTTGTATCTCTATGCTAATGTGGTATGGCAACTCGAACTGGTGTACGCATGTACGAAGTTCTACGTTGATACTGATTGACCGAAGGGAAAACAAAGAGTGTATATAACTACGCCATTGTGATCGATTCTCAGCCATGTCACTCAGAATCGATTGCAATGGGTAATATGCTAAAATTCGTGTAAAGTGTGGTATAACTATATTATTTTAATAGCCTTGAATCAGAAGTAGACTTTCTCTCTCTCTCGAAAGCATGTGACGTAACCCAGAATTAAACATTTAATAACCTTAACATATTTTCTGAGTGTTATTAAGAAAATACCAATAAAATTTCAGTAGTTTTGTGTTAGTTGGCCATCTGACTTCTAATACTATAATACACTCTTCCTGTATCCTAACCCACCTAGCTAATTGAGCGAGACGTTAGATAAGAATGAGAAATTGTGTTTACTAATCGAGTCAAATAATACACTCATTGATACAGATTTGTGTCCTCCCAGAAATTTAAACCGGACTTTGACCACTGGCATGAATCCGTAGAGGTCCCTTATTTATCATTTAAACTTGAATTGATATGTCTGATTGGCCCAGTCTATGACTGTTCCATGCTGAGAAATATGTCTGACTTTTTGGATTTAGCTTCAGGGATTGAGATTAGGGTTAATCAAATGATCAGTTACGGAAAACCGAAATTCCTGAATAATTGGATATTCTCTTGTTCTTTTCTCAAAATGCTAGTAAATCATTGAATTTACAGTAATATCTGGACGATAAAGCACCAAAAGGCTGAGCTATTAAAAGGCGAGCGTAACCTATCCAAGTCAGTTCTTTTACCTAACAATCAACTGAGTTCCGCTAGTTAAGATTTTCTGAAATTTATCATAACTAGAATTTTTTTACTGTTAATCAGATGTAGAATCAAAACGATAATGAAAAGGCTTCACCAATAAAATGTATTCCACTTTGCCTACATTTTCAAATTCAGATCAGTTTTACTAGACGTAAAAGTTCTTATTTCATTCTATCTATGTCTTAAAAAACTCGCGTGTAAGGAGTACTCCTAGAAGAAATGAATCTTCAGTGTTCATAGTTATCAGTGTTTCAAATTTAGTACTGTTCCTTAATGAAAGTGACTAAACTGTGAACGTATTACGACAAATTGTATCATAAATCTAATTTACAGCAAAGCCTAAATAAAAGACACGGCTATTTGAATTAACCTGAAATCATGTTAGATGATAAGCTTTATTGTACACTGATAGAGCCTAAATGATTAAATTTAGATATCGCTTATTCAGTTTTTGCTTTGATTTATGTTCATTTTAAATGCCAGTTATCCTCGACATCACAGTTTTACATTAAATATCTTTTAAGGGATAAGGCGGCTGGTTATTATCAACAAGGAAATGATTTGCTTAAATTTGCTGAATGTCTATACCAATTGGAAGATTATAAAGGAATTGAAAGAATAATAGAAGAGTTACCCGACTTTCATGATACACTCTATGATTTTGGTCTTAGGTTCGCTAATTTGGGTATGATAAAACAAGCTATGTATGCGTTCATAAAGGTTTGTCTCATAATTCTTTTTCTAATAATATAATTTCTATTCAAATTATACAGAGTGCAACTATTTGAACATTGAATTATTTTGGTGGTCATTTAGTAGTGTAGACAAGGTGCATTTCTGGGCAATAAGGACTTACGTACTTTTAATGTGACTTTAAAACAGTATAAAACAATATCCTAGAAGTAGAAAATCATTAAGAAGAGTGGTTCTGGATTAGTTATTTTAAACGATACTATGTCACTCCTTGACACTGGATGGTAAGATCAATATAAACCTCAATCGTTTTAAAAGTGAGATAATTTTCAGGATATGGATTTCTCCCTTTAACTAAGTAATTGTCTGAAAGAATACTAACTTACACTGGTAACGAGTCTTGCGGAAGCTCAGAGAACTAAGTCTAAAAACCTACTTTCAATTCTTTTCAGTAGCCCAATATCATATTAATTGAGTGTACTTATTTTTCAAAAAAAAATTAATGGATATTTTTACATCATTTAGTGTAATCGCCGTAAAGAAGCAATCGATGTCTGTTTACGTTTAAATGAATGGCGTGTTGCCTATGAACTAGCTAAATCTATCGATTCACAAGATACTGATCATCATCATCATCATCAGGAACAACAAAAAAGAATTGATAATTTATTAAAACAATCAGTAAATTGTTTTATTGAACAAGGTAAAATAATTGAAGCTGTTGAATTATATAAACACGCTGGTCGATTTTTAGATGCTGCAGAATTATTGTATAAAGTAAGTGATTTAAAGTGTTGGTATCTGTTGGGTTAGAAGCCTAAAATAATTGACCGATTAAAGTATTTATTGTTAATATAAATTAATATATTTTGCAAGGTCTAATCTTCACTGGTTTACCTTCTGGGTCAAAGTATTTGTCATCGTTGAAGCGACTGAAATTATATAATGGTATTTATGCGTGTGTGGCCTGTATCTGACTCCACTTCGACCGTATGAAAAATTACCATCAAACATACATACTGCTAATCCTCATAATATAAGAGTCAGTCAGACATAGGCAACATAGAATTTAAGAACCAACTGAAGATAAAGAGTTAATATATCTTCTCCATTGAGACTAATTCACAGCCATGAAATCTAACGCCCTCAATCATTTTTTTGTTGAGAAAATCGACGTTTACCAACACAGTTAAGTCCAACATTTAATCGCTTCATGAAGTGACGTCAATTCTTGATATCTCTGTCTTTAGCTTTACTTCCAACCCATTTTCATACACTGAAGCATAATTTGAATGAAAGTGGAAAGTTATTCTTGTATTCTTTTTGCTAAAACAAAACAACAATAAAAATGATAATTAATTCTTTCTGCAATCGAGGAAGCAAACTAAAGAGTTGTCTAAATCCTAGGACGAAATATCTGTTCAGTATTTCCTGTTTCTCAACGGTTATCCAACTAAAGTCATTCATTGGTGAGGAAGAAATTTTGATATGGTCTACAATAAACAAGAATATGGATGAAGATGATGAAAATAGGATTCTGAAGCTACTTTTTATGATATTACATTTCCAAATGCAACATAAGAAGAATAAAATCAATCTTAAAATTCGCATATTTTTTTAAAGTTGATCATGATCAGTCCACTTGTAACTCATTTTCAGTTTTTTCTTAGGCTTATGCAACATGCGGTTCTTTATCTTGTTTTCAATGCATTTTATTGATTGATTCTGTGATTTTGTATTCAGCTATAAATTACTCACTTTGATAAGACTCTAATTAATCATCACTCAATAATCGATACATCATTCAGCTAACTTGAATGTACTTCAGTTCTTCTTGGATCTCAATGGTGAAAAACCTTTATACCAACTTCGTTATCTCTAGCTAATCGGTGGTCTGGTAAGAAGACAATACAAGCAGTTACATGAATTTTATAGAAGTCAAAGTTGTGGTTAATTAGATCGGTATATAAATATATCAGCTACACTGTTTAATACATAAATTTAAGATAGAAAGAATTAAAGTATCTGCCCTACTGTTGTCAATTTTAAACTATTTTACTAAACATTTGCAATTGCTAATTTTGAACTTTTGAACAATTTATACCTATGAGGACGGTCCACGGGTGAACTCGATGAGGCTGTAAGAAGCTCAGAACGAGCCGAAGGTATTCCATTCAATCACCTTTTGGAAGAATATTCTAGAATCCCTACATGTAGCTTCCCGATTGGACAACCCCCAGTGTGCGGGTTGGTTAGCTATAATGATGATTTCGTTTTTACTAAAAACTATATATCTTACAGTTTTTTACTATAATTTGACACTGTCTGGAGTAACATTACTTTCACTTGTCTTCTGTCTTCTCATTTGCGAATTGGAAGGGTTCTAGCGTTCAAGTGCTCAAGTTATACGCGGTATATCATGAATATAAACTCTAGATATAACAATACCTCAGGCTAAATTAGAAGTAGGTCAAGGTACCGTTACAATCCTATTAGTTTTGTATTATTCTAAGTAATTTTAAATTCATTTAGACAATTCATAAAGAGTTTTCACCATTATTTTGTTACTATTTATGTAGGAAGTTCAAAAAATCAAACAGTTTTGTAATAGAAAACCACTGTACATGAAAAAAATGTATGTTCTTATTGGTTTGTTAATGGAACAATACTACGAACAAAATAAAACACAAGCCAATGTAAAACCAAGGGATCCTGCTTGTGGAGAAGTAAGTTGATTAGCTTTAGTCTGTTTTTTATTGTTGATCTTTATTTAAGTGTTTAAGAGTTACATAATATCACTGATTTATTTAAACTGAACATCCGATATAAATATTACTACTTTTAATAAATATATTTCAAGCAAATTCATCACTTTACTGAATGTATTAAATTTGGCTATTAATTGAGATCATGAACCGATTGATGTTGGACCACCATTGAAAACCTGAAAGCACTGGACGGCCGTTTCGTCCTGTTGTGGGACTCCTCAGCAGTGCGCATCCACGGTCCCGCTCACGGGATTCGCACCCAGGGCCCCCAGTCTTGTGCGCGAACGCTGACTAATAAAATAAATGGTATTGTTTCAGATTATGAAACTAGGTGACGTAGGTTCAAATTCTACAAGTATCACCAAGTTCCTCATACGGATAAATGTCAGCGCTGGAATTGGATAGGATATACATATCACCAAACTGCATCATGAAGCAAGCACTAACTTGGAATCCTGAGGGGGAACGGAAAATATGAAAGGCAAACGAACATATTGCGTCGAGAATTGGAAGCAGACATCAAAAATATGAATAACAACCGGAAACAATATGAAACGTTTGCCCAGGACTGAGTTCGGTGGCGAATCCTGGTGGGTGGCCTGTGCTCCTCCGTGTGGAGTAAGAGGTGTAAGTAAATAAATTTTAGACCTAGATTTAGCAGGGTTTCCTTTTGAATGCCTACAAACACCTAACGAAAATCGTCACAAAATGTCGTGGATTGATTGATGTTTAACATTAACATTAATACTGGCTCAGTAGTCTAAATGTTAGGCGTTCCCACGCGAGGCCGGTACTGGGTTGAAGTTACACTTGAGGGGTCATGGGTGTGCACTACTGAGGAGTCCTATAACGGAATAAAACAGCCATCCTGGGTTTCGGAGTTTTCAGTGGTGGTCTAACATTGATCAGTTCATGTTTTTAATGAGAAATGTGTTTATTCGCTCCCAAAGTTTTCAAATGTCCATACTCTATTTTTACTTGAAAAATCAAATATTTAGGACTCTGTTTTCCTATATTATCTTCATTTATTTTGACTTCACAACAAAATGTATCGATTAACTTACAATGATTATATTTTAGTGATTATGTTAAAATAATATGATGCAGTGTTTTAATACAAGAAGGTCAGTAAATCAAATCTGACGCTTTACATTTACTAGTTATTTAATTAAGACTTTCAGGTTGAGAATAATAATATAAGCTTCTGTACGTAAATCATTCAAAATACTTCATGGTGTTACAAATATTCAGTCTTCAAATCAAAACGTTTTTGAGATGGTGGAGATTTGTAACTTAGGTAAACCATTTTGGTGGACTTTTTTTCCCCGAACTGAATGATTTGGTCGTGAAACTTTCATCGTTATTGTGAACATCATCATCTGCACGATCTTCAGGTAGAAGTGAAGTGTTCGAATTTCTCTACATATGGCTCAGAGCTTATTCTGTAGACATCGATCTTGATTGGTTATTGTTGACATTTAATCTGTCATTGTTTTTCAGGAAAATCATGGATAAATACAAGACTAAGAATCAAATCCTTAGGAGATACAATCAAAACAACAGAGTAACTAATCACGGGTTAAAGGTCAACATCAACCAATCAAGATCGAGGTCTACAGAACAATCTGTAAGCCGTATGTGGAGAAATTCGAACACTTCACATCTACCTGAAGTTCGTGTTGATAATGTCGTTCAGAATAACTATGAAAGCTACACAACCAAACCATTCAGTTCAAAGAACAAAACTTTACTAAAACGCTTTTAATCTTTAACTTAATCGAGACAGCGTTGAAAACATATTGATTTTTTTTCAACGTAAAATTTAGGATTGTCTCTATCTATCTCAGATTATTCTTTTTGTTCTCAATACATTTCTAGGGTGTATTAATGGCAAGCTCTACACTTGCTGGTCTACTATTAACCGAACAAGATCATAATTCATTACATTATAATAATACAGATTCATGTACAACTATTACCAATAGTAATAGTAATAATAATAATAATAATAAAAAACAAATGAACATTATTAAACAAAATAATGATATAATCAATAATGAATCAGAAATCTTACAAAAACATAATACAAATGAAATCAATCGATTAATTGATCAACCGTGGAGAGGTGCTGAAGCTTATCATTTTATAATGTTAACTGAAAAACAACTTTATCATGGTTTATATAAATATGCATTTAGAACTGTTCAATTATTGAAAGATTATGAAGATATTTTAAATCCATTTATAATTTATAGTTTAATTGGTAATTGAATATTATTATTTATTAATGAAATTAACTATTACGTAATAAACCATTCAATTAGTTAAATTATATATTTGATAAACATGTTATTTCACAGATTCCAATCATGAGTCGATTGAAGCTAGACCACCATGGAAAACCTGGAAGCACTGGAGGGCCGTTTTGTCCTAATATGGGACTCCTCAGCAATGTGCATCCACGATCCCATACCCCGCGAGATTCGGTTGAAGTTAGACATTAACACAGTCGGATGCCGGCTCAGTGGCCTAGTTAGTTAAACGCTTGGTGCGAGACTGATAAGTCCTGGGTTCGAATCTCGCAGGGTGCGTGATCATGGATGCACACTGCTGAGGAGTCCCATATTAGGACAAACCGGCCGTTCAATGCTTCCAGGTTTTCCATAGTGGTCTAGCTTCAGTTGACTCATGATTTCAATCAGTGAAATCTCTAAAATCTCCAAAAACCCCTTCTAAAAATGCTATTGTTTTGAATTTAATAACTAAGATGAACTTGGTCAAGATCTTTTGAAAGTATTAATAATAATAATAATAATAATAATAATAATAATAAACTCACCTAGTATTGTTTACTTGAATCTCCCGATTGATGTTTAGTACTGTAATTGATCAGTCTTATGTTGGCATATGTGTATATTGCCTTAATTTACAAGTATTATAAGCAATGATAGATAGTGGCTAGAAGTTGAATGGAGGACTCATGTTTCGTCCTATTTGGGACTCGTCAGCTGGATGTACCTGTATCTCAGATTTGATGTTCATTCTGGGACTCAAACCCAGTAGCGTTCGCTTCAATGCTTGTGAATTAAGACAATATTGAGGCAATACGCCCAGTATGCATATATACCAATAAGAGATTGATCAACTAAAGCGCTTAACATCAATGGGAAAATTCAAGTAAATAATACCAAGTGAAATTATACTTTACTCTATTACACAAGCAAGTGGCTATCAGAACTCAGTGGCTAACTGGATAACGCGATAGCGTTTGCTAATAATAATAATAATTGTGTGCTTGATAGTCACTAGCTTTAAGATAGGATATTTTTCGGAGTCCTAATATAATGTCACGATTTGTTAAATTAACCAAATCGACAGTAATTCGCGTTCTCATCATTAGTATTAGATAATGATCACAATGTTACTTACTTATTCGCACCTGTTACCCCTCGAGGAGTACTGGCAACCGACTAACCAAGTCTGTCATGTCCACTTTTCTAGTTGTCGTTAAGTGTTATTTACTCATTAGATGTACACTTCCAATGTCCAAAACAATATTTTCGTTGGTCTGCTGAAATCGGATTTATGGATCATTGAATTGTGATTCAATTGCCTAAATATATGCCTTGCGTTATGAAACCGTAAATTTGCCTACATGATCTCTTGGGGAGTCACAAATGTGCTCTATCAAGGATTCTGAAATCAGAATGAAGTAGTCTGTGTTTCTCAAACTAGAAATCACCTTTAAAATTTGCAGATATGTTTACAAATTCCTCCTATGTAGTAATTGTCCAGTTGGTTGACTTGTTATAGGCATCAATTAGAGTGCAATTAAATATTAGAAAGCATCGAGATATTGTTTTATCCTAATTTCTATGTAAGTGACCTAATGAACTATTACTAATGAATCCTATTTAGATTGATTCTCTGATCCCACAGTAGTTTTCCTTAGATAATCAACAGTCAATGTTCTAGCAACCATGTTTTGTCATAACTTCTCATAATGTCTTTTTTTATCTATATATTACAATTAGTGTACAACTTCTGGTGGTGTTATGTTCTGTAAAATAAAAGCTTTGATTGCAAAGCTTACATTTTCATTCTGAACAGTGATATCGATGCCTGTGCTTCAAGCTATCTCATTAATATCACGTTTTTGTTCTGATGACTTTGTATATGACTGAGTTATAGGATAGACTGACAAGTAATTAATAAACTCTAAATACTATTATGTCTGACTACATGACTGTATGTATAACATAATGTTTAACCTCCAAATTTCTAGCTACACTTGATATCGTGACACATATATGATGCTAATAGCCAAGTATTTAGTATTGTTTCCATGTTACCGGAGATTAAAAATGCTTGAATGCATAGCATCATTATTCATTAAAGTATCTTACAATAAACAGTATAACCACTCGATGTAATGAATTTACACTTTAATTAATTAATTAGTAGTAAATAAGCCTAGCTTTATAAATTATCTGATTGTGTACTATTGATTGGTCACTGTAGAATGATCAATGTCATGTTTTACTAAACTCCACCTGTAGCTCTTCCAGAGTTACTGCCGGTCCCAAGCCCGGGTAAAGGAGGAGGGTTGGGCATGGGGTTAGCGTCCCCATTCCGTAGAAAACTAACTCACTAAAAGAACGCTTACCAGTAATGTTTTACTAGTCTATTTAGTGCTAATCTGATTGTATTGATCAGGTTTCGGTTTATCCAGTAGACTAAGTGTTTTTACATTGTATGCACTATGCTGGGATGCAAGGTGGTTGGCGGTAGTTGATAAGTTGTATGTGGACATTTTCCGATTGTACTAGATTATAAATTTTATAAGTGAATGACACTTCATTAATATACAAGTATATGGGAATTATTTGATGTTATTGACACCACAGATCGGCATAACTTGGACATTCACTGGAAACCAGGAAGAAATAGACATTGGTTTACAGGTTAAAGTTTTTTATATGAGACCTAAAGTCCTGAGTTAGACCTTCATCAATGGTGACATGGGTGCACACGACTAAGTAACTACAAACTCGGGAAAAACTGGTGATCAAGACTTCCTGGTTTTCAACGGCTGTATAAATTAATCTGGTCCATAATACTAATAATACTATATTTTCTAACTTATCTCCGTATTAATACTGAAGTGCTTAACTTTTTTTAGCTCTCTGTGCTATTTATGCAAGAAACTACGTTGTCTGTTCTAAAGCTTTTATAAAATTAGAAAGCTTTACAGATATCTCATCAATTGAACAGAAAGAACTTAAACAATTAACTCTAGATCTATTTTCCAGGTAAGTGTTATTCAGTAATTCGTTATGCTTCAGATACATCTGTTTGTTATAAATCCATATCTAATATTCTATACTTATGTGAATAGATTATAATGTACAGAGAGGTAGATATAATTTACGAACCTTGTATGAAAGTTAACATTGAATCTTGGAATCGTCAATATTCATACATTGAATTTCTTTTAGAGAATCTTTGATTTATTTCTTTAAGATGTTATTTTAAAAACTTTGATAATCACAATTTCAGTTTATAATGAAAACTGTTTGAAGGAAATTCGTAGATTCTTGACAGATTTTCTGACTAGATATAAAAATGACTGTTTTATCGTTATATCTTTTTGATAGACATCAACCTATAAACGAACAAGATACATCGGAGTCTCCTGAAATGGATTCAATGTTAGAAAGGTAAGAGAAGTTATTCCAACTACTTAATGCTATTTCATGTTATTTTTGATTCGGCCATTACATCTTACTACTGTTACTTGATGTGAGTAGTTAAATATAATTTGTAGCCATTCTTAGATATACCTCTCTTTGTACGGGAAGTATTTTCTGTTTATTTAAATAATTTATATCCTAATGAATACAGAAGATATGCTGATTTTTAGGCATGAGTAAGTTGATGAAGAAAGGAATGTAACTTATAAAGGGGAGAGATATGAAAGTAAACTACTTGGAAATATATGATGCCTGAATTGCGTTTACCACAGGAAATACAATAATGTGAAGTAAAAAAAATGGAAACTAGTATTTCCTCCGTAAACTGAAAAGTCGGTTTTAAGAATGGACAATGTAGCGAAGAGCAATTCTTGTGTCGTCACAATGCGCTTATAATCCTTCATAACTCGAGAGAACAAGATGGAAACAAAGAGGATGGAACAAAAACACCGAGAATTACTGTGATAAGTCTGTCGTTTCGTTTTTATTTAAACTAGCCAAAGTAACCAAGGAGTGTAAGAGTACAATCTAATTGCAATTGATTTCTGAAAAATTTAGAGTTTATTCTTTAATTTTATTTAAGAAACTGCACTATATATTTCCCTACACTGTCGACTAAATTCGATACTCGATACATTTTACATTGATTTCAGCTTATGGTTAACCAATATTTTAATTGACTTAAATAAACAACCTATTTGTAGAAAATACTGCGTTATCATAATAATCATGTTCACATATATTTTGGCACTCGGATCTAAATGATATGTGATGTTATAACTGGTGTATAGATGATGGCCTGATAATGTATAGATCGGCTGTTCATACAAATTATTACTAGTATTATTTTTTAACTTGTCAAAAACTGAGTTGAACATCAATATTTCTGTTCTTCAACATCCATCCTATCAGTAGGCATATATATATGTATGATCCTTCAGTTAGTCAATATCAACATATGTTTCGGTACAGATATGAAACGGTTCAAATATTCGCACATCTACAGAACTCGATGAAATGGTTATACCAGTGATAGTAAGGAAGAAGTAACAAAGAATATTGATCAAAAACAAAGAATGGGAAGTCAGTCAGCAACAACCTACAACTTCGTACGTATGTACATCAGTTCGAGTGACTGACCAGTAATAATAAGGAAGACTAAACATAGAGAATATTGACCAAAAACAAAGAATAGAAAGTGTGAAATAATATTGAGATTAAAGACTTAGGGGAAGACTGTAAGAAATTAGCATTGATAAAATGCATTTTAGCTTTGTTATAGAACGCCTATGTTTACCTGCGGCACTGTAACAAGATTTCTGTTTAAACAAAATACAAACTTTTCTATAACGCTTTTAGTATACAGTACAATAGTAATGTGTTTTCTCTGTCTACTAATAAAATAAATATTACATTGGAAATAAGGACGAAATTCGACAGATAAACCTAACATTTCCTTTGTGTTTTTTTACCTAAACATTTTAGTGAGACAAAAATTCCTGTGTGTGTAGTCACTGGTCAACCGATTACAGATTATCAATTTTGGATGTGTCCAACATGTAAACATTGTGCTTATGAAAATGAAATAACGAAATTGCACAATTGTCCTTTATGTCATTTCCCTGTTCAATAAATATTCATTCTAAATATATTTTATTTGAAAATATATATCGTATCTTGAATAGATAGAACTTTTATTAAATTTCTGAATGTTATTTGTTTACCCAATACTGAGTCGTGTAGTCAGTTTTGAGTCATACTTTTGTGTTTAGAATAATGATATTCAGCTGCCCCAAGTTGAGTTGCAATTGAACCTGCAATTTAATGATTGAAAGTTGGACGTCTTAACCACTAGACACACATATTTGGTTTACAACGGAATAACTTATAGATTAATTGATTGTCAGAATGAAATAAAATCTGGTTTATTTTATCCATACAATATACTTTATGAATTGAAACAATACCCTGACAGCTGGATAATCGACTGTCAAGGTTCTCACCTCTCTGAAACATAACATTATACTGTATGAAGAGGAAAGATTTCAACGTCTTTACTAACTCAAAGTGTACTAAAAACACCTGTTCTTTCCCATTTTTTCATGACCTGCCATCTTCCTCAGAAAACACTTTTATTAGCTGTGCGGGTAATCTCAGTGCACGTATACCGATCTCTAACTTTTTACAACCCCTTGGAATAAATAAAATCTCCTTTCTCATTGAACATTAAATTTACTAACATCTCTTTTGTATATCTTTTGGTAAAACGAGGAGCTAATACATCAAAATCCATGCACGTAAGGAAATGTTTAGAGGCTGCACAATACCTAATCTAGCGAAAACACTATGAGACGAATAGGTTGTAAGAGCTGATCTAGTCAAAAACCAGTATTCTTAGGTCAATTGTTAATTAAAAGTTGCACAGATTTTCATTTTACTGAAAAACTTCACTTAATTCCAGATGGTTTATTTATTTATTTCATGTATATGTTAATGCAGTCATCGACTTCTTTTTCTTAATTAGTAAAAAAAACCTGTTGAAACACTGTTGAGAATTCTATATTATTATCTGTCAAGCATGTTAAATAAATATGAACTGAGGTGATTAGAGGCTAGTTGTATTTAAATGGAATGGGTATGTTAAATGAAGTCAGAGAGATGAACACAGAAGATAAGATGTAAATGTGAGAAAGCTGTTATGAGTATGTGAATTATAAAACTAACCAACGTCAGTACTACTTGTTTGTTCTCATAAGTCTGGCAACTTATAAATTTGCGTGGCGTGTAAGCATTACTGTATGAACTTAGATATAAAGTTTCATACCCTATCCTTTTATTATGACAATTAGGTTAGTTAGAAGTAAGAAAATGTTTTATTGATTAAATCGGATCGTTGAACATAATGTTATCCTTGTTCACCAATTACCGATAATGTAAATTTTCATTGAAGCTTTCAAAATGCATAAAATTCTATTAGTTAACAATTAATGTTTTTAGAATTATAATGAATTTTTAAGACGAATTGTAATCTCAATATGCTTGTTTCTTTTTTAGTCATTTTGGACATTATATATTTCCTTGATACGAAAATCAATAAGAGTGATTTGGTTGAGACGACCTTGGAGTGACGCTAGACTAACCTTGGGAGTGTCCACCTAATAACTAGGACCAAATGAGGGTTATAAACATGTGCGAAGAATTAGATTTATGACTTACAATTGATGGTTAAGGTTAGGAATTAGATTTAGGATTTTCATCACGAACTGACATCAGCTATAATGCTAAAACTTTATTTAGCCAACTGGATGAGTGAATTTTGCGACAAAATCTGATTGGTTCGTCCATAAATTATAGTTTCGCAGTGATTTGTCTAAATTAACCCAGTAAAACAGTATGTATAGAAAAGAGAGATGTTATTTATTTATCCAGAAAGAAATGATTATATAACTTCACAATATTAGGATTTAGTAAATGTTTTAAAGTCTATGGACAAAGGTAAATTGGAGGTGGTATTGACTATTTACAAAAACAATGGAAATACAACAGTTAAAATGTTTTCCTTTTTAGATTTTTCTACTCAAAATCTTTTTTCTTTAGTTGAATTACTTAAAAATAGGAGTTGACAAAAAAAAATTAAATGAACAATTAAGAAATGTACAAATGTGAAATCAGTTTTTCAGTAGATTGCAACGGATTGCCATACGAGGTTTAGCCACCAAACTGGAAATTCAGTGATGCTCAAAAAAAAGCTAAGTCTAGATGAATCGAAACTCGAACAGGGTAGCAGTATATATATAGAACACATATAAGCGAACAATTGTTTTCAATTAGATCGTCACCAGGCTTTATTGTAATATACATGAATATTCATACGGAAATGTTAAATCAACCAAGGTAATTAAGGTCAAAAATCACGATGAAATAGAATAAGTCACCAAGCATAATAGGTAAAAGTACAAGTTGATAACAGAAAGATAGGTGTACTGATAGTAGTAAGAATAATAAAATACGATGACAAAAGTCTTATCAATAGTTAAACGTTGGAAATAGAAGGTCAAACGTGGGTAAATAGACTTGGAATAGTCATCACAAAACACTAAAACCATTACGTAATAAGAAGTATGTAAATAATTAGATAGTGAAGAATACAAACGGAAAGAGGCGGAAAATTACAATCAAATACCAAATGTGAAAATTATGTTAATGATAACAAAAATAAAATAAAATAATGTCGTTTGTTAAATTACAACTGGCCATGCAAGGGATAGGGGGTTCACGAATTTGTTCTGTACACATTTAACCCCTTTTTTATTGTGATTATTGACTCAAATTGCCTTGATTAGTTTAACAATTTCATAAAAATATTCATGTATATTACAGTAAAGCTTAATGATGATCTAATAGAAAGCAATTGTTTGATTACATGTGTTGTTCTAATTTTCACAATGAAAACCTGGATGCACAGGGCGGCCGTTCCGTCCTAGTATGGGACTTTTCAGGTTCGAGTCCCGCATGCGAGGTCGTGCATGAGAATTACTGAGGAGTCCCATACTAGAACGAAACGGCCGTTATATATATATATAAGCAAATAATCACAAATAATAAAAAAGTAATTTACAAATTAATTATTAAAGGTGAATGATTGTCTAATCTATGATGAATTTCTTTGATTAAACAATATGTATCATGTTGAAATATATGTAGTCCACGACTAGTTAGAACTGCTAATGATAGAGGACCTTCACCGATTAGATCTAAAGCAGGAGATATACAAAATACTGGACCAGGAAGTGAACGTTGAAATTTTAATCTGAAATAATATATATAAAGAGAATATCTTAAAATGAACTGTATCTAACATGATACATTATAAAGATTTTTTTTCTAATGTTATGTAGTATAAAAGTTGTGCAGTGAAAATGATTAAATTGATTGAGTTTCTAGTGACACACTTTATATAGAACAACTTCCGATAAGATTGTTTTAACATAAAAGGAATAAATCGTTTACGAATTGAATGTCATTATACAGATTCGAAATTTTATAATATACCCAAGTAGTTATTTTCAATAATTTGAAAATTAAAGTTGGTGTGATGCAGTTGTTTAAAACTACGATTCGTTTGATTGTTACTGAATTCATTGGAGTGGATGTGAAAAACTTATGAATCTTAAAGATTATTTCGGTTACTCTTTATATATGTGTAATATTGAGAACTGAGACAAACAAAAGACGTCCTTCAATATATATTAGAGTGGAGGTTTGTGGGGATTGTAGTAGTTGTTAGTAGTTGAATTCTTGAGTCGATTTAAACTAGACTACAACTGAAAACCTGTAAGCACAGGACGGCTGTTTTGTCTTAGTATGGGACTCCTCAGGCCCAACACCTGCATGCGAGATCGTGGATGAGCACTACTGAGGAGTCCCACACTAGAACGGCAATTAGTAAACTTTGAACAACGATATACGACAGATGGAAATTTGACTTTGCAGACCTATCAGTTGGCAGAATTCATAGATGTTATAATTGTATTCGACAGTCTAATGCAGTCATTATTCTACTTAGGAAATGAAAAAGAGATTCTATCAACACATTACTTTGAAGATGAGTCCGCCGAGATCTAGCTTTTCAAATTACACTTAAACATGCTCAGTTCCAACAGGAAAGACCTTCTAAAAAAAAGTATACTGTAACGGATTGCTATACGAGGTTTAGCCACCAAACTGGAAATTCAGTGATGCTAAAAAAAGCTAAGCCTAGATGAATTGAAACTCGAGCAGGGTAGCTGCGGGGTAGCAGTACATAATAAAGCTGGTCATTTGCCATTATTGGAACAAATTAATACTAAACTATTCATGAGGAATAGCACACAATTTGAATTCGAACACTTAGACATACTAGATCACGTAAGCAAAGAATGTATGCAACATTCACACCTGCATCACGTTAATTAATCGTCCTTTGATGCTCATTCGTCATTTATAATATTAAGTCAGCTAATCAGATGGATTATTTTACTAAGAAACTATCACTTCCATTCTATGTTCCTGTTTACTAAAGTAAATTGATTCTTTTATAAAGCATAAAGCTAATTGATTTCAAATGAACTACTTCTAAAACTCTCTATCATTGTTGGGCATATGTAATTCGATTCGTTTCGTCCAACTTTATGGAGCATAGATGTTTTTCACTGCGAATCTAAAAGCAATATTAAAATAGGTAATAAACTTTCTAAAATCCGTAGAATATATATATATATATCATAATTTAAAAGATTTTGTGAGTTCAGACAAAATAAATTTATGAATACCTTATCACAAATGTATCGATATGAGTGGTGGGTGTTAAATACAAACAACAATATTCATGGCATTGATGACACTTTATCTGAAACGGTTAATTTAACCAAAATTAATAACGATACTAACTAACATCTAAATATTACATGAGATGCAGTTTGTAACTGTGGAGTGTCTGAACTAATGAATAACAGCTCTATGCATTAATAGATGTTGCTTAAGTGTTCGGTAGTAGTAGTAGTAATAGTAGTGTCAGGCTGTTTAAACCAAAGCTATAAACTACTTAGTTTAAAGATTAGTTATCTAATCACCAAACATCGGTGGCGTTTAATAGAAGTTTGACAAATTTTAATTAATCCCTACAGAATACAAATACGGAACATATATAGAGTAAGAAGAAAACGAAATATATTACATGAATTGTCCATTTTTTGGATCTGTATTATTCAACTCCCATTCATAATAAAGTAATCGTTGTCCAAATGTTCCAAGTATAATTTCCGTTTTACCATCCAAATTAAAATCATCGACTGAAGCACAATTGACATGATCAAAATCTGTGCTAAATGGTAAAATTAACTGATTTTGTACACTGAAGCCATTATTTTTGAAGATATTACTGAAATGATAATAAAATTCATACATTAATTACTCTATATGACACAGGACAATGTGTAATATGAATCATTGAAATTTCTTTTATTAATGAAGTCTATTTACCTCAAAATTAAGTAATAACCGCGTGATCATTAGAGAACAAAATTAAAATGAAGTTTGACCATATTATTGGTACGATAGATAAGATCTTTTAGGCAAAAATAAAACATTAGAAGGGGTTTTGTGGATATCATAGTAATTTTAATAGTTTAGATCATGAGTCGATTTAAGCTATACCACCATTGAAAACCTGGAAGCACTGAACGGTCGTTTTGTTCTAGTGTGGGACTCCTCAGTAGTGCTCATCCACAATCTCGCCTCACGGGATTTGAACCCAGGAGCTAACAGTCTAGCGAGCGCCTAACCACCAGACCACTGAGCCGGCATCCAACGGCATTAATGTCTAACTTCAACTACTCCACAAAACTGAGCGACACATCCACAATTATCATTAGTGAGTTACTGTCACAACACACCCGGTTGAACTCCACTGGTCACTGCTTCTCGTTAGACTTACGCCTAGTCACTAGTTTTAGTAATTAACTTAACAATTTCCTGGAGAACAATGGTATCACAGACTCCTGCTACAACAACCTAGGGTATCACACATACTCTTGGTTTTTTGGTCTCCTGATGATCTAAAAAATAGAGATTAAAATTGAAGTCAATAAGTCATCCTTATCACGCACACACACACACACACCCCAATGTATTCAGATATCATGAACATGTAAAATATGTGTTGTAATGGTTTTTTTTATTCATTTTTTATTTATTTTAACACATAGATATTGGTTGATCAGTTCCAAACAGTAAAGGAAAACAAACTGAGATTACGGAATAAAAAGAGAAGTAGGAAAAGAAATAATAGAGGCTACTACTGTGATACCATGTCAGTATCCAATCCCATCAGTGATTAATACCGATAACAGCTGAAAAAATGTGTAAGAGACTTCATGAGTGTTTGATGGCTAGTGAAACTAACCATCTGTTCGAAATGAAGCAGGTGAAATAGGGTTTGAATTTGCCTCAATATTTTCTAACACTAAGTAAGATTTTCATAAAAGTTAGTACCCAAAAATAAGTTAGCAATTGGAGGAATGAGTCAAATGTAAATATGAGTAAGCCAACAAACAAAATTCGTGAAATGTCGTATTATAACTACGCTACTCGTTCGTAAATAGTTTATATCATGTACCTCCTTTTCATATATTTCATTAGTTAGTCGTAAACTAGCTGTTCTCTTAATGGTTGGCGCAGTTTTTTACCTATTTAACCATATTGAAGTGGAACTTTTCTACACTTGTCTGTACTGAAAGTTCACTGTTATTGTCGAGTTTATCATTATTAATGTGAGCTTTACCTTGCGCCAATTATCGTTTAATGTAGAGACATTAATTATTTGTATATATTCGTACATAAATATTTCAAGAAGTCAAGATACTTTACCTTAGATGCTTCATTCCGATGGTTCTGGTAAATCTGACATTACATAGAATGTGAAAATAACACTTTCTTTTACAAAATTAATCTGAGTAAAAGTCGAAGAATATACATACTATTAACTTAAAGACATATCCGATAACTTATATGTAAATACGATGTTGGAAATTTGCATGCTTACCAATAAACAACAGTTGGTTCGAAAGCTGAACACACTAAACAGTTAACATCTTTCTTGAGAATAGACACATCTGATATGAAATCAATGAAGGGAGAAAGAGACTGACATAAATAAGTTACAGATGTAGGAAATTTAAGAAATTAATAGATGATAACATCAGTGTAAAATGAATATAAAAATGAGACTAAAATTACCATATTTTTATTGATGAATGGATTCTCAAGCAGTTTGTGGTTTCCGGTTAAGCGGTTATCGATATCATTTTGCTAATGTATTGTTATAATTTATTAGTAAATCATTATCAGTTACAGAATTGTACACATGGCTTTGAGGCACAGTCGGTAAGCACTAGTAATACTATCCAGTTGTGAGGAGGGGTTCGAACTCGCAATTTATGACTGAAATTTCAACCTCTTAAACAATAAACCACCAACCCATTTAGCTTAAAATATCATCTAAGGTTCGTGACAATTAATTTTATAACCCGGAATGATAAACTTGAGAAATTATATAAGTTGAGTATGCTCTGCACCTTCTAAGTCCAAAGTACTTTTACACGACTTGTAGGACCCTGATCCTGCACTCACCTTGAGTAGTGAGCAAATAAAAGTAATCGAGAAATTCGTGTATCAGGATAGCTGCATAAGTGCTGCTGATGGTTTGAGTGGTGAGATCAATTCACATATAGTGTAAGCCAGAGCGGCTTATGCCAATCTGGGCCATCTCTAGCGCTTTCGTGATGTTCTGGCTGTGAAAGGTCGGACCTCCAACGCGTCGATGGGAGCAGTCTCGCTCTATGCTTATGAAACCTGATCTCTCCGAGTTGAGGACGTCAGACGACCCTCTGTGTTTGATCCTTGTTGTCTCCGAAGGATTGCTAACATACACTGGTAACACCATGTTAGTAATGCAGAGGTTCGATATTGTGTGTTCAGGCACAGTGACGATAATTCGATTCAATCTTGAAACACCGACTTCGGTAGCTTGAATGTCTTACGAAGGTCTTCGCAGCGAATTCCACACCGTGCATTATTTGCCGGATTAGTGTATGACATGGTGTGATGGCATGAAAGAATGCTGTACAGGACTAGCATCTGATAGTCCTTCACACAACTCCCTGGTTGGAGTACAACACAGTGGCTTAAGATGTTATCAGACTTGGCTCAAAATAGAAGCCAGTGGCGGTCCTGCTGTATATCTTCAATGTAAGTACAGAATCAATAGTTTGTTGGAATATTTTATGCTGGGAATTCCATATTGTACTAAAAATATAACACTAGATAAGATGATCATTATTATATGACAATATAACCAGTCAAGTTTTAAAGAATAAATAAATAAATTACTTTCATTATCTTTGATCACTTCTTCTGAAGCCGAATCAAACCCATTAAACTGTTGAAATATTTTAATGGATGTGATTGGTGATTCATGAGATAAATAGAAATGTCGTATAGTTCCTGATTGAATAACAAAAAACATCATACAAATATACGCGATAAACAGTATATTTAGAAAGAAAACATTGGATTCATACAAACAATTAAGGGTAAATTGGACCTTAATAGTTTTATTCAGTCGACTTTCAAAGAAGTTAATTCAAACATTTTCATACATTTATATTCAGTCAGATCAAAGCCCAGTAACAAATAAATTGAAGTGTATAGTGCTACAGTGTAATGAACTTATTAAATTAGTTATGATTGATATAAACTATTTGACAACACTTAATATATTGGATATTCAAATACCTTTCATATAAAAGGAAACTTTTCATCCGATAATATGTAGCCAATTGGATATGTAGGACACACTGTTCAGTTATAATAATTTCATAGGGAATAGACAAAACTTTAATGAGGGGAAAAAGGTATTAATTATATGATAAAAATTTACAAATATAGTATACAAACATGTAATTAAACATTTTAGGCAAACATAAAAAGGAACATACTACGAGATTTCATGTCCACAGCGAATAAACCAAACCACCCATCTTGTGAGCCGAATGCTGAAAACCGTATATTATTTATAATTTTAAAATCCATATGTAAGAAACTGTGGTGAAAAATTAAACAAGGAATGTGAAAGCCTCAATTAAAAACAAGAATTTATTTATGATTAGGAATAAATGAAACTCAAATTTAATGTAAATTAGATCATAGTATAAACAAACACTTGGATCAAAGGAAATAGAACAAGGAAGTTCAAATGATTAACGAAAAATTACTATTTAATGCACCTACTTATTTAGAAGTGATGTACATGTAGAAATATTTGTGCTGAAACTATGTAAAATAATTTAAAGAACGTTTAACGTGTGAAAATTACAACTACTGTTTTCTATATATTTGATTGTGATACCGAGATTGAGAGATAAATTCACTAAACTAGTCACCTATCTTGTATTTATTAATTTAACGGCTAATTTGAAACCATTTATGTCGGTTAATATTCTAAGAACTTGGTTCTTCATACTTACAAACACCTTCAGAGTGACTAAGCAAAGGTGCAACAAAAACGATCAATAGTTCTACTTCATCTTATATAATTCAAATGCGTCAATCGTTTACAGTATTATATCGCATTGGTAATTGTCTGCCAAAATCTGTTTGACTTAAAGCCTTCCAGACAACGAAAATAATAACTATTTGAATTTGAAAGTCGGAGATTTGTATGTAAAAGAAAAATGAATTCGGACCCCTTTCTCATTTCAGTTAACTCAAGATCTAGTAAATCAATAGTTATCCTAATCATAAAATGACCTAATTTAAATATGTACGACCGACCTCCTTTGTGTCTACTTATCTTAAATTTACCTTGCTCAAATATTATCAGCATTATTACTGTTCTTTTCAACCAGTAAAAAATTCAACTACCACAAACCCGATATAAATACTGATACCTAATTCATATCAAATCACAAGCAACGTAATTGGGTCGAAAGTCCCAGTAACCAAATAATTCAAAAACATTTACAGATTAAATTAAAACTCATATCCGTTGAACGAGTGGTTATCTAGACTTAGTAGCTAGATGGATAACGCATTGAACGTTTGATGTTCAGAGTTTGGGGTTTGAATTCCAGCGCGGTCATAGACACTGGGATGCAAATACATCCATTTGACGTATCTTAAATATAAAGAAACGAGCGTCCTGGATTTAACTGCCAGTCGAATTCCATCTATACAATAAAATCACATTATTATTTCATCTCCTGTTATCTATATCTATTCAGATTATCAATCTTATGATTTCATTGATATATAAACTTAGTGATTCTAACAATACACACTAAATATCTGAAGATTACCAATTCTATTTCACTCCACTAGTGATCCTAAATTTATAGGCCGTAACTTTTAAAAGCAGTTCATCCAATCAAATTGATCATCCCTTTCGAGCATCAATTTGAATTTTTAATTGGGGAGCCTGATGAAAATTTATTAGGAAAGAATATCCTACGTTCAGTTCATACATCTATTTACACAAAAACACAAATTAAGTTTCTATTTACTTGAAAGATATCTTACTGAATAAAACTTACATTAGTGTTGTTGGCAATTTTGTTAGCTCTGGGAAAAGTACTACAGCAATATTAAATGATAGTTCACCATAAGCTGCACTAGAATGACAGGTTTGAGACTGATTTAATTCAGAGTTTTTTGTATCTTGATCAATTTCAACTTGTTCAAAAACATTCTAGAAGTAAGAGGAAATAAGGAATTCAACTTAAAACTTTTCAATGATAACCTTTAAAATGATGAATGAAACTAACGCTGATTTAAAGATACAAGATTACTAGCCAAGAAACACCACCACCGTTCCAAACATAATACCAACTGAAAAATTATTGAATGATTTTTCAATTAAGATTTTCTATGTGTTGCCATTATAGGGAAGTGTGTGAACTTTCTCTACAGTAATTCTACCAACCACATGCTTGTTGATATTTTATTGTGTTCGAATAATGAATCTGTAAGTTTATTATGTAAGAATAGACAACGCTTTCTATGGTTGATATACTTAATGAGAATAACTAAACCGATATTGAAATTTCAAAAAGTGCATATAAACACTGAGTTGCATAAATTAGTTAATTATGATTTGCCTGGCCTCTCCAATCCGTATACCTCAATTTGTATGTATTCTTAGATAAACTTAGTTACTGGATGGCGTTTTCTTAGCAAGATTTTTTTGTACGAAATAGAGTTGCCGACCCCATGCCCAACCCTCATCATTTACCCGAGCTTGGGACCGGCATAAACTCTAGAACAACTACAGGCGGAGTTAGATAAACTTAGTAGTTGCCAATAAATATGAAACAATAATCCATACGTGACACAACTGATTGTTAATCCATTAAAATCAGTAAAAATCAAAGGATCACTACTGAAGCGTACATGACGACATGAAAGCTCAGACTTTGTGTGAGAGAAAGAAAAAAACTGATTGATTCAATATTCTGCTCAACTACCACATATTTTCATAAGCACCGAATCATTGTTAAATACAGAACACAGATATGTGCACTATGCTTATCGTGATGTTATGTCTGAACTATTCAAACAACAGTACCTCAGTGTAGCTAGATAATGTCTGATACATTTATTAAAATAAACATTTTAACTACAAGTATATACCAATCATACGACTGTAAAATCAATGGTAATTGGCTGTTACATTATACTGGGTTATCATCAAAGACTATGTACTGATGAGATGTGTAGTAAGCTCACTCAACTACTGTACTATTTATCTGTTCACTGTAATTTATACACTTGATCCGCCATGTAATTTTCCGTATGAGTCTGATTGAGCACATGTCAATTTTTAATCTATTCCCTCATCAATTGTAATACACAGACAACCAATAATTTATCCATACTTGACTCACACTCAAAAAAAATATATGGATTTTTAACACACACTTGTTTACCCTGTGTGCTTGCTTCCTGTACGCTTGCGGATTTTACCAATCTTTAACAATAAACCATCTCTATAACTGGTGTTCAGGATTTTGAATAATCTCGAGTAAATCCATGATTCTACTAGGAGATTTAGCCTGCATTAAATACTCAGTTAACAGGATACTATCTATTGGAGTCAGATATAGAGGATACTAGCTTCTACAGATGATCACTCGGATGATCTAACTTACAATAAACAATCAGGCCTATGAACTTTGAGTCTCGCGCTGGTGTAAACTTTAGGGTACTTGGATGGAGCATGATAGTTCAATTTTCTAAATTTAATCTATTTTCAACATGCAGAGACAACTACACAATGCTTATAGTAGCGGTTAATTTTTCGGCATAATTGACTTGAGACTGTAGACACTCACAGCTAATTGTATTTATTTGAAAGCTAACATATTAGCAAAGAAGGCTAGAAATTATTGAGTGCTAAACACAGAAGGGGTTAAGGGTATTTACTGTTTGGAAGAAACTATCCAAAAGATGACAGAATCCCTAAACAATACTTTCTGCCCCAAGCATCCTTCAAATGATTATGAGTATTTTTCAATCCAGCTAATATCTAAATATACATTCTCCCATTCATCTGATATTTCACTTACAACGATTTGATGAATTTTCAGTATAGGGTTGTGGATGCTGGATCAGTGGTCTAGAGACTAGGAGCATGCCCACGACACTAAAGGTTCTAGGTTTGGTATTGTAGGTGCGCACTGATGAAGTCCCATACTATGACAAAATAATCGTCCAGTGATACAAGGTCCTTAATGTTAATCTAACTTACATCGGTTCAAAATTTCAATGATTTAATGAAGCTTACAAACTTAATATATTTAATAACGTTCATCCATCAATTAATTTTACATCAGAAGATGAACAGAACAATAGAATATCATTCCTAGATGTCCAACTAACTAGAAGAGCAGACGGAACTTTAAAAAGAGGGGTACACAGAAAGTCTGCAGCAGGACAATACACTCATTTCTACAGTGCAGTTCCAATCAGATACAATAGGAACTTGACAAAGATCTTGACTCATCGTGCCAAAATGATTTGCTCGGAAGACACCATTGAGGATGAACTGGTTAATATTCGGAACTTACTTAGTATGAATGGGTACCCTATGAAATTCATCGACAAGCACATGATGGAGAAGAAAACAAGGGCAAAGATACCTACCGTCCCTAAGAAAGTACTGTTCATAAAATTACAATTCATAAACGACACCACTGAAGAAATCGTGACTCAGAAACTAAGAAGAGCTGTACAAAAAACATTTAATGCAGCCAGATTAAATGCTATCCTCTATAACCACCCCAAAATAGGAATTACCAATAAAGACAGACTACCTGAATTCGCCAAATCCATGTGTATCTATCGGTTCAACTGCTTCTGTGGAGCCAGTTATATAGGGCGTACTATTCGGCAAGTTCGTCCTCGTATTAAAGAGCATCATCCATCGTGATTAAGCAAAGGACAGGTAAAAGTGATTAAAAGTTCTATTCTCTCTCACTTGGTTGACACAGGTCATCAAGTTGAATTGAATAAAGCTTTTAAGGTTATCTACCATATCCCATCAAATTTGCTACATGGTTTACGAGTGTGCCTTTTGCACATCGCGGAGGCCATCGCAATCCATGTTCACAAACCTAACCTTTGCACTCAAAAGAGATTTGTACAATCACTTTCGCTGCCTTGGCTATCGGTATAAGATTTACCTAAACAGAACTATTTTTCATACTTCTTCCATTCGGTTTTTTTTGTTGTTTTTTGAACTTTATAAATTCTCAACATTCATCTCTTGATTCTTACGTAACTACTATTCTATTGACCATCCATTAAAAAATTCTGTGCCTTCTCTCTTTTTCATATATTGCGCAACGCAGCAACTTCTTGATCTAATAATTACTTTGAGTATTAATAATCCTCTTTCTTCCAATTACTTAATGTTAATTTAAATGTAATTATGTAAATGTTACGTAACGTATCCACTCGATGCGTATCATCATTATTGTAAATCATATATATATATATATATATATATATATATATATATATATATATATATATATATATATTAGTGTAGAGCAATGATGAAAAACTAATTGAAAAGAAATTTCTTCGCTCAAATCACGATTAAAGGAGATGCAGACGAAGCGGTAAAACTGAAGGCAAAACAACAACCATAGGTAGTATATACTACGCACAAGAACACATATAATGTACTGTATCTCTTTGAAAATCAATAAGACCGTTGTAATCATAAAATAATCCTTGATAATCTAGAAACTGATTTTAATTTGTTAAAATATGAGAATAATATAATACTGTTCTGAATGTATTTTATAAATCAAATTTAAAATATCACTTACAGTATCAACAAGTTTGGAAAATATTTTGACTTGTGGTTGATTGGAAGGCTTGTCTAGATCAAAATTAACAAAAGAATGTTTTTATAGGTCATTTTGGTTTAATTAGCAGTGATTAAGTGAATGATTTTATCTTGAGGATCGAGTTAAGTGTATTATACGACAGGAACTAAGTTACTATTGCTGGGACAAATGAAGCGAGGTTAGGACTCATGATCTAGAAATTAAATCGATGACTTACAGTTAGAAATAATAGACAGCATTTACCACTAATGTTGTAATTGAATTTTCTAATAGGATAACAACAACGATGACTAGCTGACAGATATACGATGTTGCAAGCACAAAAATGAACAGTTTTCTTATGTGAAAAAGAAGGCTGATGAATAATAGATTTCCAAAGTCCAACTTCAACGTGTATATAATCTCCTATTATAAGTATAGCACTTTCAATCTTAGTGCAGCATTACAATAGTTGACGAAAGATTTGTTGAAATGTGCATGAAAGGAAGGAGAACAAAAGAACCGATTCATGATAGAAACTGTAACAATGGATCGCTTTCAGCACGGTAATCGAAGGTTTTAGATTCGATCCGATAATGGATACACGATAGCACAATAATAGTATAAACCAGATGTTTCATACTTTTTAGATTTCAACAGTTCTCGAACTGGTTTCAGTTCATAGTGAAAACTGCTTCATATCTGCAATCACTAACTTCAATGTGGTTAATCAGTGCTTGAATTCCCTAACTTCTGTCTGAGTCATGTTGGTAGATGCAGACTACTCGGTTGGATTCCGTGTGACTATCGCAACCAATGGTTGTAGACTCTGTGTGACATGGATCAGAATCGATCACAATGGCGTCGGTGTATACACTCTGTCTTCCCTTAAACTATGAGATTAAAGTCGCTTCATATTTTTCTTTCTACGAACTAATTCTTTTTTCCTGTACTATGTCCTTATATGAAATCTTTCTTTTATATATTACCACCACTGAATTAATCACGTCTATGAATCCGGTGTTCATCTTGTTGTGCTAATGAGGTATGGGAACTTGGATCGATGCACATATGTGCCTGGTCCTACGTTGTAGCTGACTGACTAATTGGTTACACTGTGAACGAAATGTGGGTCGTCTACAAAAGTATTTATAACCGCGAGTTTATGATCTTTATTATGAAGAATATATGAGCAACAAAATTATAAATTTAAAATAAATTACTAGTGACAAATTAAGAAATCATCTAATTCTGAACAACGCAGTATAACTAGTTGGGTTTTAGAAATACTGGATACAGAAAAATTCCATAAACAGCATTTACAAAACTTACGTTGACTGGAAGTTTCGCTAAAAGGTTCACCATAAGACAAAAAGAATGCCCACTGATGTTCATCTTTGATGAGACAGCTAAAAAAGCACAAACAAACTCTCATTAGTCCACAAAGCAAAAACTTTATAAAATAAACAGTCTAATGGAAATTGATTAGATTAACGGAGATAACTGTTCGAGTCAGAACTATGTGTATCACTTTAATTGCGTGATATTTGAGCACCAGGAACTGAATACCTGAGAAATTGGTCTTACATTTCCTTGACATAAGATAAGGTAGTAGCTAAATGAACTGAAAAACGCACGATTTTAACTAGGGTTTATCTGTATCGGGATATCCTAGATGAATATATTTAAATAAAAGATGATAGTTACTCGTATACTGATTACTGAAAAAACACGGTCTGGTAATAATTAAGATCACACGTCATGTTTTATATGATTGTAATCCCAATAGACTTTAATATTTCTTAGTGTGAGTATTCATGGAACTAATGATAACTGTTGTGATGGGCGGTGTCCGAAATGTGGTACTGATATAAGACGTCCTTCAGGTCAATTCTGATTAACATCGACTGATCTACTCATTTGGCTACTTTTACTTAGTTTGTCATATCAATAACAATGATAACATTATAGTTATGATAGTAAGTAATAGGCAGAAACACTAGTAATTTTTTAAACATGCAAATTTTTCATCTCATTTGAAAATATATCATTATTGAATACAGAAGCTAGCATAAATATAAGTCTAATTGAAATCTAAGTGTAACTTACTGTGCATGAGTCAAATGAAGAGGAACACAAGGTAACTTGGAATAACTCAAGCAATTTTCTGAACAGAATACTTATTGACTGATTTTTGTGTAAAACATACCCGATAGCTTTTCTTCTGACTTAGATCTGTATATATTAAGGTATCCTTTTTCGCCTTCCTTAAATATAATAAACATTGGATCAAACTAAATGTTACCTTTACAAAGCCAATAGCAACGAAGTATTCGTCAGTTATTTCGTCATGTAATGCACTAATGCAAACTATGTCTGAGGCACCTGAGAATTTACATACAAATAATCACTACAATTTCTACGAAACCTGGTAAATAGGCAAAATCAATGGTTTTAGTTAGTGGCTGAATAATTTTGTCTTCTACATCGAAATGGTGTATACTAAAGGAATATTTGCTGGCTAGTGGATCGCTTACTAGGCTAAAATAAAGAAATCAGAATGCGAATACTCACCTGGACGGAAAAATGCGACCAGTATGTCGTACGTTTTTCGACTAGTTTTTGATCGTTTTGCAGCATCAGACTTCAAAAAAGTTAGGTTGAAAACATTCGACTGAGCCAATGATGGAAAATGGAACAATTCCACATACGTCTGTAGACCTAATGAGTTCATAATTCCTGTGGACAGTTATCAATCAAATCACTAGAAGTAAACGAAATCAGAGTTTTAAGCTTTTTCGAGGAGAGACGTACTACTTAAACGTACATATAAAACTACAGAGGACGGTAAACCATCGACTGTTACTTATTCAAGCAACCAGGAATAAATAAACCAAATACTCCTAAAACAGAGGTAAGTTTATTAGTAAGAAAATGAGTTACAAATTTCTGATACACATATGCCAGTAACAACCAGCAAAGATGGTTATTTGTGAATTGCGTTTTACCTACGCTATTCCCTTTAGGAAAAAAGATTTTCTTCATTGATATCGACCATATTAGTGTATTCCAATTTGGCATTTTGAACATCACGTCAGATGTTTGTACCAAATACAGACAGTAGCTGAAAGGCGTGACTTCAAATCATAGTGGCAAATTGGAACTCCGTTCTTTATACTTCGGTTCGACAAGCCGCTTAGTATTATTGACCCATGGTATGACCCAAAACTGTCTTCTCGAACATGTGCATGAATAATACTTTCAACAGTTTTGATTAAAGAAATAATTTATTCAATAAAAATCGTGAACAGCACAAATATCTACTAACTAAACCTTATACTGACTTTCTTAAACATGAAATTCTAGTGTTGTTCTAAAGGGTTTGGTTTAGTTCAGAGTAGACTGTTTTCAAATAATTAAAGCATAAGGATGGAGCTATGTAGTTTTGGCATTACGTTTTTACAGGAATTGGATAGGCAATATGGATCAAATCTAAGCGTTACACGTAGATAGTTTACAATAAGTGGATGCCTATTTTCCTAGTAGACCAGTTCAAGTGACGCTAGTACCAACGTGTCTTCTTCAATATTGAGCATGAATCGAAGATCATTTCTATTTTATTAATATAATTAATTTTTCCCGAATAACTATGGCTTATTTGAACATCTATGCAGGACTGAGAATGTTCAGATATCAAATTATTGATTTTTCTGGCACTAATTTCTAGATCTGAAATTACCAGAACGGCCATAAAAACACATCTGAAATGTGAAATCCCATGATCAATTAATAAAACTTCTGTGTCGCAGCCAAACATAAGTCTTATAGGACGATAAAGTAAATATCCTTGAAAGTTACAGTACTCCAGAGACCATATTTCGACAAGTGAATACATTTAGATGTCTTCCAACAGTATTAAGACTTACTTATAATCTAGGTGGACGGTTAACGTGATTGTCAAAAATATAGATCATAGCTTCTATACGCAGAACCAAGTTCTATCACATTATTAAAAAAAGAATATAAAAAGGAAAATAAAGGCGTAATGAAGCCGACAAAAGCGTAAATAAAGGGGAAAAGTCTATTTTCCCTCCTTGATGTCGGTTACTTAGGGTAAATGTCGACTTGGCACTTACATAACGATCGATGATCTAGCATGTCAACTATTCACAATCTTGTGCAATGCGATGTTTTTTCAATAAATTTCCCTAAACATGTACCATTTTAACGTTGATTACATTTGTCGTGTGGCTTGCTATAGAAATACAGATAAATATAGGAAACATCTAGGGTTAGGTGGTGTGCTAAACGCCGAAGCGACAGTAGATAATTCGGGCGAAAATCAGACAACTTGGCACGTATTCATGTGAAAAGTAGACAGTTCGGTGAGTATTTAAGTGAAGTAGACAATTCGGCGTAGATCTGGGCAATAAGTAATTAACTCGGTGAGTATTTAGTCGAAAAGCAGATGATCCGTCTTGAGTTTAGGTGAAAAGTAGGCAATTCAGAGACGTTTAAAGATAGAGAGAAATAAGAGGGAAAATCAGCATTATTTCCCCGGACAGCAGAAAAAGCAGACATTTTGGAGCGTTTCTCCTTTATTTTCCTCTGTTCCCATTTACTTCCCCTTTATTGAGTGGGTGGGTTATTGACACGTGAAGTATAGAGAAAAAAATAGGGGAAAATCTATATTATTTTCCCCTGACACTCGAAAAAGTAGACGATTTGGCGCATTTTTTCCCAACGCATTTTCCTCTTTGTTCTCATCCTTATAAGATTATAATATTATTTCGACCGTGACGACAGGTCGAAAACTCCATAGGCTGATAGAGAACCGCTCAAATCTCTCCCGTGATAAAAGGCTTTGACAAATGGGAATCTCTCAAACCAACTGGAAAAAATGTTGGACTGTAACGTTACGCGCCCGATAATCGTTAACTGTAAGGTGCCAAATAACATCGACCACTATTGTATAAAAGGTCACATTACTGTTCCACGATAATAACAGTAGGTGAAATTACCATCGATCTCTGGAGAATCGCTCGCCAAAAATCATGAACGTAAACGTGACGTAGCGTTACTATTGCTTGACGCGGCTACAAAGTCTTCAGTCTTCAGTCTTCAGTAATAAGGATAGGAGGTCTATCGACCTATATTAATCCTTGCATTTTGTAATACTGTGGAGGTCCAACCTCGTTTTGAATATATTAACAGAAGGTGCTGATATAACGTGTTCCGATAGAGAATTCCAGTAATTCACTACTCGGTGCGAGAAACAAAACTCCAGACGTAAACGGTTTGATCTCGGTTTTCGAACTTTCTTCGAATGTCCTCTCAAATGATCGGTTCTAGACGGAAGCAAAAGATAAGACATGGTAATACCAAGGTCATCGTTCAGTATACGATAAGCCAATATTAGATCACCCCGTATTCTACGGTAAGATAACGGAAATAAGTTAAGGTGTCTCAGTCAGTCTTCATAAGATAGGCCAGATAGACCTTGTACCATCTTAGTAGCTCGTCGTTGGACTCTTTCTAGCATATCTGCTTCATACTTGAAACAAGGACACGCTGCTTGAATCCCGTATTCTAAATGTGGTCGCACATAAATCGGGTATAATAGTCTAAACATTTCATCATCTAAATACTGGAAATACCTAAGAGTAGACCATAATACCCCATAGCCTTTTGCAGCAGCAGCCTTACAGTGACTATTAGTTTTGAGATCATTGCTTAATATGACTCCTAAATCTTTATAGTTTCTTGCTTTGGGTAGCACGAATCCACGTAGTGTATAGTCATACGATTCATCAGAGTTATTTAAATGCATCACTACACTCTTATTAGGACTTACTTCTAGTGACCACCTGTCTAACCATGCCACCAATGAGCTAAGATCGTCCTGTAATACTATCCTATCCGACATACTGTGTATGGGTCTCCAAATCTTTATGTCATCAGCGGAGAGTAGAACGGATGATTTCGCTATAGTTGGTAATTTATTTACATAAAGTAAAAGGGGAAGAAGACCGAGGATTGTACCTTGGGGAACTCCACTTTTTACAGGTACCCACGAGGAGAGAGCCCCATTTACTCTTATCCTTTGTCTTTTGTCATGTAGAAAGTTACTTATCGAAACTACGACTGTATAATGGATTCAAAAACGTTCCAGTTTGAATTTAAGACCAGAATGGGAGACCTTATCGAAAGCCTTACTTAGATATATAAAGATCACATTCAGAGGAATATTCCGATCTTTTGCAGCGGCCCAATCTTCTCTTGCAATGAGATTTGTCACGCATGATAGGCCTCTCCGAAAACCATGCTGTTCCCTGGAGAAAAGATTATGCTCTTCAACATAGTTTATAACAGATATCCGAATGATTTTTTCCATCAGTTTTACAACTGCACAAGTTAAGCAAACGGGCCTTTAGTTACTAACTAAATTCCTACGCCCAGCCTTATACACTGGACTTATTATAGCGTTTTTCCAGTCTCTGGGCAGTGTGGACTGCCTTAGAGACATGTCAAACAGTATCGCTAATGGTTCAGCAATTAAATCTGATATGGCTTTCATAATCCTAGGATGAATATCATCAGGACCACTGGACTTATCAGGTTTGAGATGCTGAAGTAGCCTTAAAACAGTATCTTTCTCAATGACTACAGGATCCATCAGCGAGCCGTCACGGTCGCGATGAATCGTTGGTCGTTCCTCATTACCGACAGAAAACACCTTACTAAAATATTATGATAAGGCTCCAGCTTTTTCGGCATCATTCTTTGCTAAGATTAACGGATTATCTCGTATCAAAAGTGATAGAATTCCATCGCTTCTCTTAGTTCGCCTTTTTATATACGAGAATAATCGTTTCGGACTATATCTAGAATCCCTAACCAATTGTTTTTCGTATGATAGTCTAGTCTTGCTTATTAACGCATTACAGGTATTCCTAATCTTGCAATAACTGGATCTGTATTGTTCTAAGCCAGTAGAGATGAACATATTCCAGTGATTCTTCCTTTTTCTGAGGAGTTTCCTGACTGTTTTAGCTATCCATGGTGGACGGTTATTCGGTCTTCGAGGTACCAGGTATGGTATGAACGCGGACGTAACTAGTCTAAATTTACCTTTAAATTCAGACCATGCTTCTTCAACTGATATGCTAGTATCTACTAACCAATCTGTCTTAGCAGCGCATTCCTGAATGGCTGATATGTTAGCTTTCCATACATTTGGGCGAGGTGTTACCTGATCGTATAACATGTCCCTAGTTCTAAACGTGAATGACAAAACAGCGTGATCGCTGTTCACTAACGGTGGGAGAATATTAAAGTCGACAATATCGTCAGTCTCATGGGTGGTTACCAAGTCCAACAGAGAAGAACCCTGGTTAACACCAAAACGTGTGGGTTTGGATACATGCTGCACTAGTGCATGCTCCATTATTGTTACCAGGAACCTACTATCAAAGGAGTTTGTAGGTCCATCCGTGGTCATTTCAGTCCAACTAATATCAGGTGCATTAAAGTATACTATTATCAAACATCTGGTATTTGCACTTCAAAGATGAATGTGCTCTAGAATAAAGTCATCAGCTAAGCAGATTGGGCTGCGATAGATGACACCGAGCATAAACGTACTACATCCTACAGCCAACTTACAGCTAATGATTTCACAAATACCGCTATCACGGGATTCGCTAGTAGAGGAGCGGATATTTATGCTATTGGCTATATATAACAGGACGCCGCCTCCTTTTCTACATCCATATCTATCACTCCTGATGTAATGGTATCCGGATAATTCTGGAGTAATGTCTAGGTCATGGACTGACCAAGTTTCTGTCACTGCTACTATAAGTGGCTTTAACCTATCCACTAGTGCTTCTAGTTCATAGAAATCATTTCTTAGACTACGAGCGTTGGCATATAAAACTCCTAAGTAGAACAGCCTCTCTACACAGGCCTTGGTAGCATTCACTTCCAAGACCTGACTATCCGAAAACCCACTAGCCGGAGATTTTCTTCGCCGTTTTGCCGACGGGTTTCAAGTTCAGCTAGTGCTTTCTTCCTTTTTATTCTATCTTCGAGAGACATATCAGGTCTAATTCGGATGTCAGAAATGTCGTGACAACGAGCGCTACTTGACAAGAGATCCCGTTGCTTCTCCAATCCTAGGATTTCCTTAAGGAGTCTGCATGGACGGGGTTCAACATTGTCCTCAGTCCTCTTGCCTATTCTAACCAGGTTTTTGACCTGAACTCCTTTAGAGTTATCTGGTAAGATACTACGAATATATTCTCCCAGCTTCTCTAAATCATGCGCGTGTCTGATTTTGGGATCAGGGTCGTTTGACTTCAGCAATTTGCTCACAACAATATTCGATGTTATTAGATTTTTCTTCTCAGTCACGCCAGGACGGGTTTCACTCTTACCATCAGATCTTGGTAGTGCAATTTTTGACTCACAATTTGAGTCCAACAGTGAGTTACTAACTACCTGCGTACTGTTTATTGCTTTTTTCTTTTCGTTTCGTTTCCTACGTACCGTTGTCCACTTTTCATCCCTCATAACACTGGGACTATTTGGAACGGTGACTGTTTTATCCAGATCTTCGGTTTCCACTAAAGGTGCATTATTAACAATGTCAGTACCAGGTGGTACTACTCGCCCTGTTAATGTCAACGGAGATTTCACTTCTACGTCGGTCAGAGTCGGTTGTTTGAGGCGTCGCGTAACCGCAGGTACTACACTGACACATTCGTCACTGTCAGTGCCCGTGTTGTCAGCGCAGATGCCATCGTTCTTCTTGCAGGCCAAAGCCAATAGGCTCATAGCCTCCTGTATTAGTAATGCCTTGTTGGTACAGCAAAACATGCAAAGTCAACGTGAGTTAGGCTTCGAACATCTTTTGTATGCGGTGGGACTTAAACGGGTGCACATTTTGTGGAACCACTTATTGCATTCGTCACACTGCATTCCCTCCTCCACAGGAAACAAACAGTTTGGTTGTCCACATTTGTGAGTACTACCAACCATTTTAGTCAGATCAAGGTGTAACACACAATATGATCACAGTATGAACACAAATGTCAGTCAACGTATAAAAGGTTACCACAAGACAAACTTTAGCAAGATTTTAAACCTTAACTAAAGTACTTTGATACAGACCAAGAATGCTTTCGAATGTGATAAATACACAAAAGCCAAAAAACTCAATAGAATATCACTTTAACTGTAGTAGATTCAATTAAAGTGTAAATCGTAGTTTTGATACGTAATTTACGATCAAAACAGTTAACTAATTCAACGAGAAACAATACCACTGTCCTTTTTAGATATCGCGCGTCAATAACAAATATATTTGTCACTTAGTAACAAATTGCGTTTTTTCATGCTTCTCAAAATAAATCGGTAAATGCATCATTTTCATTATGCACCGACATCTTTTTTTATGAACGCTTTTAGGACTTTGAAAGAGTTTATAGGCGCCGTAACCATAATAACGTGGCGAACAATGAAGTCGATTAAACATATAATTATCATCTTTATTTCCTTATTTTGCCGTGAGAAACGCAGTCTTGAAGTATTGCATCAATGTTATCCATGATTACAATACTGTGGGTGGTACATTCAGAAAAATTAACTTATGTTTGTTAACATGAATTAGGATTAATAATACTGCAAAATTTCTTGTCCTCTCGTCTCTTTGGCAACCGACGAGCGATGTTGATAATTTCGAAATTCCATAGTTTAATTTCCGCACACGAAGCACTTGACTTCTTTTATGATTAAAGTTTCACGTGGCTAGCACAAGAAACGGCGTTTCAAAACGTGAGATCAAAAGTTTCAATGCGTTGGCCAAGATAGTGTATTTCAACAGTATTTGAGAAGTTTCAAGGTTCAGACAGTGTGCTTCACTTGAGAAGTTAATTATTATGTAGCGTAGCGTCAAGTCGTGATTGACTATGAACACCACTACCAAGAAACACGTGCCAAGTAAATCAGAAGGCGAAGGTTGAACGTAACCAAATAAATCCATAAAATCCCCGAGAAGCCAAATATCAGAAGGCAGTTAATGGACCAAGTCGAGAT